AAAAAATATAAGGAACGTATCCATTCATAAAATATAAATGAAGATTAAAGATGTTTCTGTAAATAAAGTTTTGATTCAGTTTGTAACGCTGGCTTAAAGTTTCAATTGTGGAAACGAATAAACCGAAAACTGGATTAAAGCAAAAGATTATTGAAAATGAATTATTTGAGAAGTGTATGGGATCAAAGGCATCAGTCGGTTATGCGTTACCCAGTGCAAGTAGCTTACTATTTCACTTCTTCTTTACTTTCCCCATTCACTTCTTACGACTATGTTTTCTCTAGTTGCATACTGCTAAGTTCGCACATTGCTGAGGTGAATTTTTTTTTCTTTTGGAACCCGGTATGATTTCTCAAAATTCTTGTGACACGAAGGGTGGCAATTGTTTTGGAGTGTCACTTTCAGTCAACTTAAACCTTCTTCTATACAGCTTATCTTCTACGTATATTCTGTAATCATTTTGTTTGTCGTTTTGTTGGCGCAGCAAAATCAAGACTCGTCCTGGGTGTCCCATACTATATATTATCCACTTATAAACGTTAAGGACTGAATGTTTAGAGCTTTCAAAAATCATATGTGTTTGAATCACAGAAAAGCAGCTGCTTTAAACAAAAATTAGGATTAAATAGTATATTGCATGTAAATAATTTATACATTGGCTTTATATTTTCTATGCCTAAATGAGGAGGTAGTTAAATATTGCATAACAATAAATATGTGCTTATAAAAGAAGTTATTGGGTTACAGAGAAGGTCTTACCATTGAATAAAAAAAAAGCCCAGAGACAGTTTATTTTGGTATCGGTACACTTATTAAGCAACCTAAGAGTTGATAGTACAAATACATAGGCATCGTTTGAAATACATGCTACTGCAATTACTATTTTTATTGAGCACAATTTAATTATTCATTATATTAGTCAAACAAAAGCAACCGACCCAAAACAGTAGGTTTTCTTAAATGCATTTTTTGTAAACATTGCTTCGAAATTTATGTGTTATTCACAGTACTAATTTTTTTGTGAGAAGATTACTAAGATTATGTCATATGTCAGACAGATTCACCAGTCCCACTTACGGTAGGTTTTGTTAGTCAAAATTTTTTAAAATCAAATTTCAAAGAATCGAAAAATACTATTTTAATGAATGAAAAGATTTATACTGGTTTTTTTCCGATACCGCTTTCCCCATCGAAACAATAGGATAGTTATTGTACCATAACACAAGTAAATTGTAATATTTTGAAAAAGATAACAATTTATTAGAATTGTTAGTTTCTATTGTCATATATCGTTCTTCCTTAGTTGTTTTAAAAAATAATAATGATAATTATTTCAGGTAAAGTATATAATCTAAACACTCATCCACTCAAATATAAATAAATATGCCCACATATGCATCGGATAGTTCCTGTTATGTTGTTTTTGGCCATTACGTTAAGCATTTACGGTTCAAATATTTTTTATTTTTAGTTTTTTTTTTAAACATTTAGATTATTTTTTTTTTAATAAATAAATACAAAACTGATATTTATAATTATTATAAATTTTAAACTGCCTCCTCCCCTCACATCGAAACGTTTCATTTTTCTGTCAACCTCCTACTTCTAAAGATATTAATTCCATTAAAATTTTAACTAGAAGGAGAAAAACTATTAATTTCATATCATAACGAAACAGCCGTTTCATGCAGCTTTGATCGATTTAGATATTTTTTCAATTAAATCTAAATCAATTTAACATTTAATTAAAAAATCACGCATTGAATTGCTTAACATCAATGTGATTCTGCATAGGTAAAGAAAATGAATTAAAACAAATATTAGCAAAAATTTTATATTCCCACACAGTCGAAATCCATTCATCAATTACATTTTTTTTAAAATTAGAAATGTACTATTTACATGCTCTAAACCCATCTATTAATATATAAAATATTTATATCTATTTGTCATTTCAATTATCTTATTTTTAGCTTAAACACGTACAAAAAAAGATGTATTAAAATAACAAAAATGTGCTTTATTTAATACAATGTTATGGAAAAAAATCTTGAGGATAAAAAAAAAGTTTACCTACCATCAATGTCCATTCGGATCGGTGTATTTATTTGCGGGACTAATTTTAAATACATAGATTTTGCCTAAATCATAGACATACATTGGGCAGTGTTCTGTTCTATTTTGTAAGATATATGTTTTGGAAAATATCACTTAGTAAGTATTTTATTTAATAATGCGTAATTTTTTTATTTAATTTTTTAGAACTACGATTTATACCACAGAGATGGCGTTGAAACTGAAGACATTAAACAGCGAACAGCAATTCCGGTAAAGTTGATGATAGTAAAATTGAATTCTAAAAATTGTATAATTCTTTCTTTTAAAATTTTAAGAATTTTAAAATTATAAATAATTTGATACAGATATTCCTTAGCTTATGGTTTATTTTAGGCTTAACACATATTTACTTGTGAATACAAATGTTTTAATGCCAAAAAAGAGTCATGAAAATACCATTCACAGCCAAGGGCAGGTAGCATTTTTTATAAAAATATTTTTATCCTTGAAGGTGGCTGTGTTGTTTAGATACTATTTACATCACAGAAAAGAAATGTCCCACTAAGAAACTGTAAATATCAAGATACATACAACATATTTTAAATTATACTTTTTTTTTTTAATTTCAGCTTTCTTTTTTCCATTATTACATTTTTCATTTTATATTTTAGGAAAAACAAGTTTTTCATGTACATACAAAGTAAGTCTAAGAAAAAAAAATTGGTATACACAATAATAAACTAATGATATATATATATATATATATATATATATATATATATATATATATATAAATATATATATATATATATATATATATATAAACATATGTAAATATAAATATATTGTTATGTAGAGCGTCTATTTTTACCCGTGCTGTAAATTCTGTATCAATCTAGCAGACGCGTTCATGTGGGCGTGTCCTATTTTTCTTTTGTTCTTTGTTTACCACAAAAGAACCTATTGCCTGTTTCTCTGGACTCGAATGTGATACGAAATGGTAGTATATTCTGGAAATTTATAGAAGATTCGAGTCACGAATACAAAGTTTTATTCTGCTTCCAAATCTTCTTAGAAACAGGCGATACCCATATATAACGTGTATTATTCTTTGTGTTCTTATGTATGTGTTTATTTCGCATTTAATCATTATTCATTACGCACATTATACGAACTGTGTTAACTGTGTACCGGTACACGATCTACCATACTGTACGTTGATGATTTGTAATGATATTTCTTTTCTTTTGTAATTACATTAATACTTATTAAATCTTATTAATTGTAATTAGAAACTGTTTGGGTGTCGTATATTTATTATTGTTGACTCTAGGGTATCGTCATTTATTAGGCACTGTTTACAACGAGCCAATTAAAATAAAAATGGGAGATTATCTTCTCATATTAGAAGCGAGTGCGTAACAATATATATGTGTATATAAATTAAATTTATTATTTATATGTATGTTTCATCCATCCATCTCTGTGGCACTACAGCTACGTATAGCTTTTTCAAATTTTTTATTCACCTAAGCTCATTTTCAGCATTTCTCTCTTTTATAATCCTCAGTCATTTGGCATTTGTCCAATTGTCTCGCCCAGCTCAGCCTATTCTTTTTTTTAATACAACTAGCTTGGGATATTAGTAGCGCCCATGCCATTACTTGTTAGTTCATATTCATTATCCATATTCGTACTTTATTGGGCTGTATATTTCCTGGATTACTTTACCATTTACTTAGTACTTTTTATACCATTTTATTAGAGACTAAAGTTTACCTATTTATATTACAAATTGTCTAATTCCGTTATACATATATATAAATATGGTGGTTCTTTTTCTCGTAGTGTTCTTACATTTAGTATTTTTGAATTCTTAAGAAAGGTATGTTTCCAGTCAATATTCTTTATTTTATTTCCTTACAGGATTCACATCTTTCCTTTAATAAAGAAATTACGTTTTTCAAATGATATACTTTTTTAAGGGGGTGTTTTCTTATTCTTTTTTTTTTCATTTATCTGTTCGTCACTTAAAATTGTCATGCATTTTGTTTTTGGTTATTAACTTGCAGCCTTGCTGGTGATGATTCGTCTTTTTATTTAATAAAAGCTTTGAAAGTATCTTTAATCCATTTCTCTAACACTGCTATGTCATCAGCATATGCAAGTTACTTAAGGGTTAAGTTGTGCAGGGTGCCTATCATTTTCTCCTCAGAAAGTGTTATTGTGCCTCCTTTGTCAAGTTATATGTTTCGAATAGCGCTTTGTAATATTAAGTTAAATATAATAGAATACTTTTAATCTCTTTGCTTTTGACCTCGTCTAATTTGAAATGTCCCTGAATATTGACCTTGATTTTTTAGTTAGCTTTTAGAGTTGTTTAATTTAATATGTTCTGTAAGTTTGCTTGGTAGGCCAAACTACCTTAGAGTCTCATTTTTATTTTAAATTTTGATGCTGGCATAGGCCACTTCATAGTCCATATGAAGTTTATTTAATGATAATTTAAAATAGTAATATTCCTCTAATCTGCATCTTATAGCGAAAACTGAGCAGTGGTTGATCTGTTTTGTCTGAATATTCATTTATATTCACCTAGTATTTCTTTAGTCTAAGTTTGTTGTCTCTCGAAAAAATTTTTCTGTAAGGATGTTACATAAAGTGGGGAAATGCCTCTTTAGATTCTGCATAGAAGTTCGAAACTCCTTTCCAGTAGTGCAGTTTCCCATTCTGTTGGAAGTTATATTTTAATTTATTGTTATTTTGTTTAACTTTTATAGTTAGATATTTTAAAATAAATTTATTACATTTCCAAGTAACACAAGTTTTTAAAATTGAATTTATATAATTAATTATCAAACTAAATTAGTAGCAATAAGATTATAAGCAGAATGTGAAACTTTAAAACGTCCATTTGTTTTATTTACCATATAGAAGGAACAATCCCATTGAAGCTGGACCATCAAGAAAATCTCAGGTAATGTCATGATTAAAGACATTTCATCAACTAGATGAAGTTTTCCTTTTGTGGACAACGTTATATGTCACAATTCTAAGTCTTATGAACTACTTTAATAATGCATGATACGCAAATCAGTGGAATACATTTATTTGTGAAGCCCTAAGTAGTCTTTTTTCTAAGATTTTTTTTTTTTAATTTCCTATAGAAATTACAAAAACATAAACCTATATACCCAAGCCATATATTATATATTTATATGTTTTATTGGTGGCTTACCTTTTCTAATGCGATCTCCCAAAATTTACCCTCCCTAACCACATTATAATGTCTAACTAATATTAACACATCTTATTTTTGTATTGCTATTAATAAATAAATTTGTCAAGTTAAAATATGAAGCGAACGCTGTTTTTTTTTCTATGAATATATTGAACAAGAAAATCAAACCAGATAATATCAGGGTCGCCAAGGTTCCGTTAGAAATTTAAATAAAATGACTTGTGCAAACTCCCGTTAAAATTCAGCATGACCAAATAACTCGGTTTTTGTCCTTATGCATTTTGAAGAGACGAAAACTGTGAATTTTTCAGCATTGTTTATGAAACATTCTTCATTTTAGTAAGAATAATAATTAGCCAAAACAATTAAAAACTAATACAAAGGCAATGCAGTTAAGTTCTACAGCTACGTAACGGAATATTGTGGCATCAAAGAAATTTTAAAGTAAAATTTCCGTCTGTAAAATATGAAGTAAGATTAAATATGGTTCTGTATAGAAAATTTTCATTAAGTTTGCAACGCTGGCTGAAAATTATAATTTTGGAAAAAAAAAGAACCCCAAAAAGAGTAATGATGTACATACATATAAAAGGAACAATTTCTTTAAGAAGTGTAAGTGATCAAATGCGTCATTAGGTTCATTGTTATCTAGAGGTAGAAGCTTAATGTGTAATCCATTCTATACTTTCCCCATTGACTTCCTACACTTTATTTCTATTTAGCATTCTGCTAAATTTGACACTTTGCTGAGGTTAAAATTTAAAAAAAAATATTTTTTGAAACCTGTATGATTTCTCAATTATTTTTGTGGATTACCGCTTTGTATTTATAACAATGTTCAACATTACTTTTTTAAAATGTCCACAGTATGAAGAAGAAAATGTTAAAACTTCTACAGAATATTAAATATCACTGGACAATTGTCTTACATTTACTACTCTTACGTATTAACATTATAAAACATAAAATAAAATGTTGTTGCTAATGTAAACCACCCTAATTTAATAATAAAGTGACGAAATACAAATCAGTAAAAATAATATATTAATCACCGACTGAGGAAGACTCACATGGGGGTGGTCCCCAAAGTTTGGCAATTCTTTTGGGGCGTCATTTTCGGTCAAATTTAACATTCTTTTATACATCTTATTTTCTATGTATATTCATATTCATTTTGGTTGTCATTGTGTTGGCACTGCAAAATCAAGAATACTGTGGGTCACATATTCTATATTATCCATTAATGGGCTATAAGCCCTTAATGAGCTGTCAAAAATGATATATATATTTGTTTACTTTTTTTTTGAGGGGGGGGGGTCGCACAGATGAGCAGCTGATTGAAATAAAAAATAAGGAGTAAATAGCCTCTTATAAGTAAACCAATCGTACATTGGTGTTAGGTTTTCTATGCCCAAATGAGGCGTCAGTTAAATATTGTTTAAAAATAATTGGGCGCAAAAGAATGTAAAAGCTATTTTGTTATAAAAATGTCTAAGCATATGATAGAAAAAGGCCTGGAAGCAGTTCATTTTGGCATCGGTATATTTCTTTAAATAAACCCAAGAGATAATGATACAAATAATTAGGTATCGCTTGAAGTACGTGCTACCGGCATAACCATGTTTATTTTTGTTCATTAATTGAGTCAAACAAATTTACCTTACCCAAATATGGTAGTCTTTCTTAATTGGAATTTTTTGTAAAAATTGTTTCAAAAATTACGTGCTATTGACATTACTATTTTTTGTGTGCAGAATCCTAAGATTAATGTCATGTATCAGACAGATTCACCGTTCCCAAAAACGGTAAGTTTTCTTAATCAATTTTATTATTTTTTTGCAATATTCATTGCATTGAAAATTAGTATTTTAATTAATGAAAAGATTTATTGTGACATTTTCAATGGGGTATTCCCAATCCAAAAATAGGACAGTTAATATAACATAATAGAAATATAGAATAATCGTAGAAATTTAGGAGAATTCTTATGTACTCTCCTCTGTCAAGGGTATGAGAATCACTGTTGTTATGTGTAGATGATTGTTTTCAAGTTTGATACGGAAACGATGTTTAGTTAGATATATTATGTGTAGCTGCATCGTTTGTGTGAAAGTGTTGTGACGTAATTGTGTAAAGGGAATGACGCGTTAGTTTTCGAGTTGTAGTGATGGAACATTGATGGCGGATATAATATTTTGACAGTTGGACTTGTGTTGCTGTGTGTTAGGCTGAACCGATTGGATTAGTAATCTGTAATTATATCACAACCCTAGTGAAGGAATTGTTCTTAAATAAATTTATATATTGCAACAAACCGTAAAGTGTTTGTTGAATTAGAAACTGTTGCTATTGGTTATACTGTTCGTGGGATCAAGAGAGAGACTTGGCCAGATAAGTAGACACTCATTGCCATGAGTGGATAATTGCAGCTCAATAGATTCAACGTTTCAACATCCTCTTGTATCGTTCCAGCTTATTTTTTTTTTTAAATGAAAACTATTTCTAGTAGTTCCTTAAAATTCGAAACATTTTTAAAAGCCTATCGCAGCGAGACAGTCATTTCATCGAACATTTAACATCACAGCCAAGGGCGTGCAGCATTAGGTATGCATTAATTTTCGTTATTGGTGGTGGCTGTGTCACCCTGCCCCCCTCTTTACATCAAAAAGAAGAAATGTACCGCTGAGTTACTGTAAATATCAAGCTACATACAACATTTTTAAGGTATATATATTTTTTATTCCATCTGTCTTTTTATTTTCTGTACTATCCTTTATATTTTATACTTTAGGGAAACCCTAAGACGCCTCTTGATCCAAAGTAAGGTTTTTTTATTATTTTTTGTTTTAATTTATTTTTTTTTAAATGTTTTCTATAGACCTTTATGGAATAAATTAAAGAATACTTTTGTATATGTATATAGTATATATAAAAGTAAACAAAATACTGTTTGTCAATTTGTTTTGCAAAGGCTTTTTCATTGAGTAACGTGTCTTGTCCAAATTTGGCAGAAATATATTTTTATCATTAAATAATAGTGTATTTAGAGCTTTCAAAATATTCTGTTAGGCTTCTGGGCCCTTATTTCTTTCTAATATGAGATTATCAGTAAAAATTACAACAAAAAAATACTTCTACTTGAATTAATCGTTCTTGACCAACTTAGTACACAGACATATGCTTATCCATATTCAAATGGCAACGGCTAATGAACTCAAAAAATATTCATTCTTCTGGTGCCGTGGAACCATTTCATATTTTTTCTAATATAAGCTTTATAAATACAATTTTGCCGAGTTAACACTATAGGTCTTATGGGAAGTAGATAGATCAGGTAACAATACACTTCATAGTTCGTAAAGAAATATTGGTGGATTTAAAAAAAAATTAATATCCAATCCATTCAGGGTCACTCTAGAGTTTTTAATAAGTTCTATAATTTAAAAGCTAGATTTGTGAAAATTTAATGGGATTTAAAAGGGGCAACTTTAAAAGTTTAACTCCTGTGTTTATGTTAAAGATTAAAATTAGACCCATTATATCGGGCATGTTAAAAACGGAAAGATATGTAATGGGCCCTTGCCCATTTCTTTTACCTTAAATGAAATGGGGTTATATAACCTTTCTATTCATACTTACATCACTATTTCTGTATTGTTATGACATGAGCGGATACCTCAGAGAATTATAGTTAGTGGGTTAACTACTAATTATTTCTCACAGCTGTAATAATACGAATAACACGTCTTGATAAATCGTTTATTTATTTATATATAACACTTCACACATATTTTTTACATCTGATAATAATAGAATGAAAATTAAATACAGTTCAGTCATAAAACATCAATTCCTTTTGAAAAAATAACGTAAGACCACATCTCTCACATGCTTTCTCATTAAATACAATATTGCTGCTCAAGCAGTTACACACTATCTATATTTAAAATATGTGTATCACTACATTGACAAGGAATAGTGTTTTTCGATCAGCTGCAAATAAACGTTTAACAACATTAGGTTACAGGTTACAGCTATTGCATTTAGTTTGTAGAATTTTTCTTACACTAACATAAATAACTAGGTATAAATGTCATTTTAAATATCTTTCAAGAAGTTTATTTAGTTTAATCTAAAATGTTTCAAAAAGATTTAAGTTGTTTCACTGCTGTATATAGTGATATCTAAAAGCCTATTAAAATGTTTGTTTATATCGATTTATTGATATACCTAGCTTGATATTTTGTCAGTATCAATGGGTCATCTTTTTATACTTTTCATTGAGATTCTATATTATTCTAGAAGCTTTTAATTTTTTCTCAAATTGTTTTAAGATAATATAAATGCTCCTATCATGGTTATTATGTTTCATTAACTTTTAATGAGTTTCCCCGAATGTTTTTGAAGAAGAAGTAAAGATCATTTTTTGTGTCTAGAAAATTCCACATTATTTTTCCATAATTATGGGGAAAAGCTGTATATTTAAAGGAAGTGGAAGGCTTAGCTAATAGTTTACGCTTCAACGGGTATTGATGGATCTTGCCAAAGTTGGTTGACATACTCTTCATAATCGCACTGAGGAATTCGTTTCCATCAGAGACTAGGATCCCATCGGGAACGTCATCCCACCAAGGAAAAGGATCCTAACGGGGAACTGGATCCAAATGAGAAAACATGATCCGACCTGGTAACAGTTTAAAAAAGCAGAGTAGATCCAGAGATGAATGAGATCTCACAGGATTCGCCATCCCACCGAGGAACGGGATCCCAGCGAGGAACTCGATTCCATCAGTAATTGGTTACCACCATAAAACGGGATCAAATAGCGAAAAGGATACCATAGAGAAACGTGATTCTTTCGTTGAACGGGATCTCAAACGGAGAACGAGATCCCATCAGAGAACAGGATAACATCAGGAAACAAGATCCTATTGAGAAACGGGATCCCTTAGGAATCGGAAATCTGGATTCCACTGGTTACAGAATAATACTGGGGTTTTATCGGGCTTCCAATGGTAAAAGGATCTCATCGAAATGGGATCCCATTTGGAAACCTAAGGCCATGAAACGTACTCCATCGAAATCGAGATCCCTTCGGTCTACCATCGGGATCCCACTGGGTTCGTGTTCCAATTGGGTTTGGGATTTACAGGAAACCGGAAACTTGATCCCAACGAAAATGGATTGCATTAGGAAAGGGTATCTCGTCAGGGAACGTGATCACATCGGGGAAATGGATCAAATCGAGAAACAGAATGTTGAAAAAAGTGTTTTTATAAATGTGAGCATTTTTAATTTACCTTAGCGACGTGTTTTGTTTTTTTTTATTGGCCCGTAAATTTGGAATTTACTTGAATTGGTGTTCATTTTATTTTCTATTTGATTCTTTTGCTACCCTCTCGAATACGACATTTGCTCTAAGTGTTTTTGGAAAATTTAACTCAATTTTTACAGTTACTTTATTCGCTGATGAATTCTTCCTGCCATCACGTTTATTTTGTTAAGTTCCTCTTTTTCATGTTTTCCCATAATTCGTTACACTAATTTCCTGATTTAATGAATAAAGATGAACTTTTAAAAGTTTGGCAATACTTGATACTTAGAAAGATATATTTCAAAATATTATAATGGTATTCATTCGTATTGATCAAAGATAAATTCATGGATATATCAAATAGTTTTAATCGAATGCTCTAACCATATGTTTCAAAATATCAAATATATCAAACGTATATACATTTTAATGGATTCAACGTTTTGAACTATTTAATCTCTTTACATAGTGGAATTTAATTCGCTTTTAAAAATATTACTCAAGGAATATTTAGTGTTTATACAAAATTGGGTCATTGGTTTACACATATTTCTTCCGGTTGGGGAAGCTTCGGGTTGGATTTACTTTACAGGAGAGACACTAACGAACGGTTGTTCTTTTCTTATGAAATTTTAAAATATTCCATAAATATCCCTTTTTGTACAATTAATTTAATTTATCAATATTGTCAGTTTTCAATATTATCTCTAAACACAGTCATCTTTCTGTATTGAACAAATACAACCAAATGGACCCAAACAAATTCATACAGACTGCTGATTTGACACCAATGAGCTCGAACCTTCAGGTAAGAAAAATATTAGATATTATCCGATTTTATGAAAGCTTTCTAATAATCAAAACATAATATTTCCATCAAAATAATTATTGCTTGGGTAGGATTGGGGATATCTGGTCTACTAAACATGTACAGATAGGACATATATATATTACAGAAAAACATGAAAATTATGCCATGTGGTGTCAAGGTCCCAAAAACGTCTCAATCAGTTTCGTTTAAAGGTTTTCCGGGTGGTTTGTTATTACAAGACACAATAGTGTTGACGGCCAAATCACGGAAGCCCCTATGATCGCTCCTGTTCAGGACTATTATGATATGGCACTGTTTATCTTGCGCAATAGTTCAAGCTTGAACAGTTCGTCTGTCTAAAAGGCAAAGCCTAGCCTTGTTCCCAGAAATGTCTCATTGCAGCAAGTACAAACAATGGCGTAGATAATATTTTGGCTAATTCAAAGTAAAACGTTACTTATCTAAAACTTACCCTTGGCGAATTTATTGAATCTAGATTTCAAAAGGCCACAAGAACTTAAAAAAAGCTGTGGCTGTCACTTTTTTCATTTCACCACTGCATTTAATTTACTTCACATTTCTTTAACATAATGTTTCCTACACTTGTTTTCACTTATATCCTTCTACCCTTCTACATGGTTGTATTTTTCCCCCCTTATTATTATTTTAATTTTATTATTTTACTGCTATTTTTTTTATTTGTTACCGTTTTGCCTCTCCAGTTATTACTTATTTTTTAAAATATTTTTCCTGTTCTTTTGTTTTTATTTACTTTTTATTTGATATTTTTCACCTATTGCTTCGTTGTTTTAAATTTAGTTTCATTTTTTATGACCACCTAACTTTCACATCTACCTTCTATTGTCCCTCAATTACACGTTCTCGTCCTGCTCTAGTCCACTGTGTCTTCCTTTAAAACAGCTATAAAGCAAATTCGTTCCTTTATATGTCCTGTCGTTAGCTTACTTACTGCTGAATTAGCCATCTGTTGCAAGGAAAAGACCGTTACTCTTTTTAAGAGAACAAGATTCAATATGCTTCTCAAATTCTTCCATAATTGTCTACTTCTCCGTACTATGCCTAATGGCTTTATAAGTAAATTTAGCCTCCATTTGCCTCCACTCTGCTAATCTAATATTTCCAAAGAAGTGCTGAAGGCACACTCCAAGGCAGGTAGCTGGATACATCTTATCACAAACCAGCTGACAGGGTGGAGCCGTCGTTTTATGGACAAGAATCTATACATCAAAGCGTCACACAGGCAACAACAGTACAGCCAGCTCTAACAGCCGAGGACTACTAACATCTTAAATAAAAACAACGACAATGTTAAAGAGACTATCAAAATTGATCGAAAAATCGTTACGTCCTCATTTAGCCTCTAATTTAAACATGTTCGATAGCCACCTCGTCAAGTCCTGTTTTAAAGTAAACCCTTTACGATTAGTAAAGCTCTAAAAACAAAAGTGGGAAGCTCGCCCAAGATATCCCTCACAAAATAAATGTGAATTTATTTCTTAGAAAAAGAAATTGGGAACGTCCTTCAAATGCTTTCCAAAAGAACCACGATTATCGAAAATCGACACTTTACTAAATTTTTGGTAAATAAGTGACTGATATTTTATATAAATATGCCAATACATTTTTCTAAACATATAACAAAAATAAGAATTTGTAGGGGAAATGAATTCATAAGAATCCTTACAAAATTACACAAAAGAATGTAACATTATTTAGCGGGTACCGTTATGAAATAATTTTTATAAAATCGTAATCTGAATATCAATAAAGCAGGGTTTATAAAAAACTTTGCAGCGCAACATTCCCCCAAAGTTTTAAAACATTTTCCTTTGCATCATTTACATTTAAAACCATGTAACCCGGAAACTCTGTCATAAACAAATGCTAATAACAATGCACGTAAACATGCACCGCAACCTCAAAATTGCTCCTGCATTCGCAAAGGGGGAGGGGGCGGACGAACCCCAGGTTAAGAAAATGCAGCAATATACTATTGATTCTCCGAAGTTATTGCTACTTAAAATGTTTCGGATGACTTGGTTTAGATAAACAAACACGGCCATCGAAAGGTTACCTTAATGAAGTCGGTGCATTCAATATAATCTATAAAATTATCGCTCTACACTTGTATGATTTCATGGGGTCAAACGATTGATGTGATTTTTTTTTCTGCAAAAGAGTTCGTATCCAAAACAAATAAAAAAAAAAATTCACTCGTGATAAAAATAAAATCATATGTCACTGTTTAATTTTTAGGCGTGAATTTTGTGATAGATAAATTACCAAATGTTTGGATTGTCTTATCCAAAGCTTGTCACTTCTTTTATCCTTCACACCAGTAAGTGAGCAGATTTTACCTGCATTGCGCGATAGGGTTTCAAATTATTTTCTAGGGTTTTGTACCCATGGGCTCCATGTCATTCGGAGATCGAACATTAAAAGTATATATATATATATTACCCTTTCGGATAATAGATTTTTTGGTTATTTGAGTTTGGGAAATTGAAGATTTTCTGTACTATTTTACAAAACTTAATTTAAATAATAAGTAGAAACTAAATACCATACTGCGACAATTTGTACAAAAATAATAAATAAAGGGGTAATAGGCATAAAAACAACTTCTCTCACCTTCTAAGGAACGGGTAAAGATTTGTTTCCGTAATTTGGTCTACATAATCTATCCCCGAAAATTAAAAATATTTAGAAATCTCAGCGATATGCAACATATACAAAAAATATTAAAGGTAAGTTTAAAACCTAAAAGGTTAAATTTTACCTTTGCATGCTTACAAGAAAATATATGTACATTAAAAAAGTTTTAAGTATCTTTTTTAAAATGCCTATTTTTATTCAGAGGTTCAGGTTTACAAATGAAAAAAGCCGAAGGAGATCATTAGACTCAAAACTGGTAGGTTTTGTTATTAACAAATACTTTTTACAATTTAAAAAAAAAATTCTTAAGGCCTATTATAAATGTGTTTTAATCGTAAAACAATCGAACGAGCCAAACCTAAAAACAGATTAAATTGCAAAACCATTTAGCAATAAGTAACTTGAGTTTTTGTGTGAATATCAATAGCGTATTTTAATGTAAAGTTTATCTACTAGTCCTAGTCCTGATTTCATTAGGTTAGAAATAACATATGTTTTAAACGTATTTGCAACTATGTAATAATTGTCTTGTCTTTTTTTTGTGTTAATATGTTAAATAAAGTTAGGGGTTCTTTATTATGTTTATAAAGCAACATATTAAAACATATAATATGTATCCCCAATATTCAATGCCCTCTTCCTTTCAGTTATAAATTTTTACAGTTTTATCATGTTTTGTTGTTATTTGCGTATTACTAAGTATTAATTATGAGTTTCTTCTTGTTAGTATGAACATAAGGGTCACTTTTTTTCTTGTAGAAAAGTAATCCCCTCTCGACGTCACAGGTACATCTTAAAGAAACAAACAGTAGCCCAGCAACTCAGGTATAAATAGGGAATTTAATAATTAATCAATTAAAATAAGTTTTAGCCGAAAATGTGTTTGTTTATTCTACAAACTAGGTTTAAGTATTGAAATAAGTATACTTATCCAATTTTATGTTTCCTTTGAATGTTTAGGTTAAATTTATTTTCTACAGAGAGGCCATGTAAACATGGCCAATGATCTCTTCATATAGACCCTAGCTTTAAACTTTAAATATCATAGAATATTGTAAATAAATGCGTATATCTATAACTTTAATTTGTATACATAACTCACAAATTTATAGCTAGATTATATGACCATATTATACCGGGTTAATAATGGAATGCATATTTCTCTACATTCCACCTGTTTTACTAAATCTCAGCATCTAAAAATCGAATTTTTACTTATGTACTGAATCAAATTGGTGTAATGCATCCTTGAAAAATGTCTTTTCTATAATTTTCAACTAATTTGAAATTTATATTTATGAAACAGCAGATTAGCCTTTCAATTTATTTTTAAGTAAGTGTCTTTGTATAGACTTTTACGTTTCGAAGTGGCTAATTGTTACCCGGGTACAGATAAGTGAGAGGTTGGGATTAAAAAACTAATTAAAATTGCATTGTTTTGTTTGTAAGAATAAACAAGGTATCAAATGAAAGATAAGTGAATGGACTATATGTTTGTAAACTTAATTTTTCAGTTTAACTGAAATAAACTACCACAAATGACATTTAAGTAATCTATTTGAAATTTGAAGTACAGCGGTACCAATCAATTGCTCCCACATATTCTGTGGCATATTTTCTGCTGCCGGGAGGAAAATACAAAATGCAACATCTTTCCCAACATCCACATATTATTTTAAGTGTTTGTTTTAAAGAATCCCCATGACAAACACTATCGCTCAATTTTTGCAACCCCAGACCTAAATTAATATCCCATATATAGTCACAACTCCCTTATACCACAAATTTTCTATATAAAATATATTTTATAACAAAGCTCAAAATAAATTATCATCGCCTTAAAAAATTTAAAAGCACAAAAGTGTATTATAAATATTCATACACTTATTTTAAATTAACTATGTACTAAATTTCTGTCAAAATTGCAAAAAAATTTTGATAACCATTTTACTAATTTAATTATTTTATTAAAGTACAAATTTTCCTTAATAACTGCAATAAATAGCAAATTTTAAAAGTAATAAAAGTAAAACTGATTAATGGTAAAGTTACATTTTGTGTTGTGTGTTAAATTAAATGTTAGCAATTTGAAAAGCAAATATGTATAACCATTAGAGGCAAAAACATCCATTTTGTCCCATGGTTAACACTAACTTGCTATTTGTGGATCATTTGAGCAATTTACATTTATTTGGACTAATACGTAAGTATATTTTTAAAAAAACGTAACACTTATTTTATCAGAATCCTGAACTGTATTTTGAGGGAAACAAATTTATACGTATAGCATGTACCTAAAAGAACAGTTAAGAAACTGCCTCAACTTTGAATCCACATATACGTTTGTCAACTGTGCAAATCCTTTCTCGGAGTGATTTCATAAAAAGCTCCGTATAGAACGAGTAAAATGTTTACTGTTACGACATTCGCATAACTGAACAGTATATGCTTCAAAGAAAAACATATATGGCTTTTAAAAGTCACAACCATTCAGCTTTGTCCAGCTGTCGCTGCAGCAACATAAAGATTCGCAGAAATAAAAAATTAGTTTCTGTTGAAATTAAAAAAACAGATTGTGTCCAAAAATATTCTTAACTAGCTTATAAAATAAATGTAAAGAGGTACAGGATGTGTCTTATATTTGGAGGATTTTACATTAAATTCAATTGTGATGTTAAAGTTAATGTTATAAGGTAATGCTTGAAAATGCATATTGGAAAGCACTCACATTTTGTATGCTTGTTTCTTTTCACATAAAAAACACATTTGAGGGGGTAATGATGATATTTATAAAATTAATTTTTGAGTGCTAGCCATACATGTACATATGAATCTTTTGTTTTCTTTGCAGGCTAGCTTAAGGGGATTTTTAGAGGACACTAACAAAGCATCAAATTTAGACATGGAGATTGTTAGCAAAGAACCAAATGTAGGTTAGATGTACTAGGAGAAAAATAATAAGCCTATTTTAATACGTTAGTTTTTAAGTGAATATGATGTATGATTTTACAGCTTCGTTAGTGCTTGAGAAGCCGCATCGTTACATGATTCCTTGAATACCTTTCTAAACGTGCTTGTTTTTTCTTTCATTAAACCGGAATTAAAAGCATTTTTTAGTACTTTTACATGATTCTAATTTTGCATATTGTTACTTCCTTCAACAATTTTCAAATCGTTGATGTTAATTTCGACAATTTTACTACATTTATTAATAAACGATTTTTATTGCATTGTCTTTTGTGGTGGGGGGATTTTCATTGTGTTGAGAACTTATTTATAAACTGTCTTTACATAAATTTCTCTTAGTGCAATCAACTCCAAACGTTATTTTTTGTAAAATGTTCTCACGCTTGTATATTGAACTTAATATTATGCATTTTGATGCAACAATAAAAGCAATACGCTTTAAAAGTTTGTATTTAGTTTCACTTTAGTTAATTAGTTGAAAATATAATTTATATCATTATATTTTTGTATATTTAACATTTCCTGTTATATATACTTTTTATTGTTCTTTTAAAGAACATCACAGCAAAGCATTATAAAAAAAATAGCTTAAATTAGTTTTCATGGCTCTATCTTTCATATTTATAAGAATGTCATCTGGTTGATTGGAAGTGACGAGAACCCGAACTTTGATAATGCTTATGGAAGACGCCTGATGGAGAAGTTTTTTGAGATTGCTGTAGACAGTGGTAGGTGTACTTAATTTATAAATATCTTCAGTTTAAATTAATTTACCATTGTTTGGAGTAATAATGACAATGTTGTTTTTTTTAATTCTAATATGTTGTTTGTCCATGAAATACGCCACTTCTACAGAATCGCTGCTTATGGTGCATGGTACAAAAAAATTTTGTGAAAAAATTGAACATCTATACAAGCATTCAAAACTAAGGAGCGGGAAAAAGAAAATTATGGGATACGTTACTGGGGTAAAAACAAATTGATTACTTTTTAATGAAGATTTGAGCATAAGTTACTTTTTATTCCTCATCATTAACTGATAAGCAATGTTTATATTATATATTGATTTCTGTGTGTACAGTATGTTTGTACAAAATGTTTTCTTTTTTCCATTTATATGGCACTTTAAACGTATACATATAACCTTAATGTACATTGTATATGCAGCTTCCAATTGAATCTTATTGACAATAATCGAAACATGATAAAAGACATTTCTTTTAAATTATATTTTATCTGACTTTAATTTCAGAGACTCTCCATCCAAAACAATTTTCCAAGGATTCGCTTCACGTCAGCTGCTGGTGATCAAGCACCCATAAGGGACAAACGTAATAAATATTAATAATCTAAAACATTTTTAATAAGTGTATAGTACGAAAAAAAAATAATTAACTATTTCTTGCATATCTCTTTAAAAGGGTCAATTCAAATAACAAAGTCTTTTTTTTTACATTTATTGAAAGCTTCTAAAAATTATTTTTTTCAGCAATATTTCAGTGTGTTTTTGTATTTGAGAAGGGTGATCATCAATATACAAAAGAAGTGGAACAATGTACTGATGGCGTCCCAATCGTAATAATTCAGGTAGTTTTTGTCTATTTTTTTATAAAGAATATATCTTCAAAAATAATAATGCGTGAACTAAACTAAATGATGAACCTTTAACATGTTTTGTTAAGTGTTTTGATTCTACGTGTTTTTTTTTTTTTTTTTTTTTTTTTTTTTTTTTTTTTTTTTAATTTTTTTTTTTTTTTTTTTTTTTTTTTTTTTTTTTTTTTTTTTTTTTTTTTTTTTTTTTTTTGTTTTTTTTAATTTTAAACCTTATTTTTTCATTAAATAATGCAAAAGTTTGCCGACAAAAGTTAAGAAAACGTTTAAGCGCTTCTAACAACCTGAAGACTATGTTTTACAATCCTTTTAATTAATCTTGCTTTATAGTGTGAATAGGGCAAAGTTTTGGATGGCTAATTGGACCCACTTACTGTCAATTTATCGAGCAGAAACTTGACACATGGACTCGTTGCTAATAACAACATATTTAGTAAAAAAAATAGCCCCAACACCCGAAAATCTTTCCCTCTATTTTTCAAGGGCGGATGAAGACATATCTCACGAAATAAATTTCTCTGTAACTGCGCTAAATGAGATTATGTTTAAAATAAGTATCGCAAGTGCATTTGGTGTTTTAGAAACATTAGACTAATTGAACTTTTAAATTTAGGACATTAAAGTTTCGTAAGAATTTCTTAAAAGATAATGTATTTACATATTATTAAAGCTTTATTTTTCCCCTTTTCCTTTCCTAATGATTCTATGGAAAATGCACAGGATGACACTGGCGCAAATAGGTAACGTATAATGTACCCCTACCACACTTTTTTGTTAACATTCCTGAACTCTATTAGCTCAATTTTTTTTAAACTTATGTATGTTTTAAAAGATTTAGAGTTTCACGCCTGTAAAATATTAGGCCCTTATTTTATCGGAAAATACCAACACATTTTGTGTATATTTTATAAATATTTTCTCGAAATTTTCTTATGCATTTGTAAATATAAACATATTCTTATCATTAAATGCATTTGCCCACCCACTTATCAACGCCCGTAAACTGTATCTTTGGAAAAGATGATACAAATCTCGATATCCTTTTTTTCAAACAGATCATTTTCACTATTTTAGTCTGTCCAAATTCCTTGAGTTTTTGTTTTTTTTTTTGCTTTTTTTTTTTTTTTTTTGGGTGGGGGGGGGGGGTTAAAATTTGTCACAGCAAGTGAAATGTATTTTCCAGGTAATACTGAAAAAATGTTTCTTTATTGTGAAAGAAACAATAAAATCTGTTTGTTAAAATGTGATATAATCCGAATTAAATATATTGTTAATCATAAGAAATTTAACGCATACTTTTTCTCCCATTCTAATGAGAATTGGATAAGTTATATGCAGTAGTCTTAAAACTATTTAAATACAAATTTCTAAATTTCCGTTATTAACCATTTATTAACAAATTAACCATTTGTCTTGATTCAACTCTCTTCAAACCATTACTGTATTCTTAATAATTTTATTGATGTTTACATAACTGTAGGGACCCATCAAAGCCAAAAAGAATATATTGGGATCTACATGAGTCACACGAAACTGAAGAGATTAACAAATTATGTGTTGTTAAAAAAATTATAGAAGGTACCGCTTGACTTCATTTTCTAAAATGGAATAATAATTATAATTTTATAAATAATAATTATAACTTTATGAAATTCGAAATTGTATGTTTGATGTTATTGATTTTAATTAAATGTAATGTATATTCTGTTCAGGGAATTTTAGTTTTTAATTAATTTGAAATTTAATATACTTAAATAAAATATCACATTATTTCCCTTCACTTTTTTCAGCCTTCAAGGTCCATCATAATATTGGAGATAGAATTCCAGTGAACTTGCGTGCTACATGGGTTTTTTTATGCACAAGCCTAAATTATTATGTCAAAGACATTGAGAGACATATTAAGGTATTGTATGAACTTTTAGTTTAAATTATCAATGTGTTCCTGCTAATACGTATTGGTAACTTGGAAAGATAATTGTTTTTGAAAAAAAAAATACGTTATTGCATTTAAAAGTATTTGCTTTGGCATGATAAATGCAAATTTAAATGAAAGGGAAATCGCTCTATATACGTATTATGTAAACTCCTCAAGATTGTGAAAATCTTAACATCTTTTCTTTTGTTTTCTTTTTTTTCTTCTTTTTTTTCTCTAAGGATATGCTGTTGGAAAGCAATTCTGAGGTAACACTCGATTTGATATTATAAAATTAGATATTTGTCAATAGATATACACCATTTGAGTGATTTATGAAACAAACTGTAAATTATAGTTATTGTTTATAATTATTCCTTTTGAAATAGTTGGTTCGATATCACGATTTTTTCACCAGTATTCTAGACTGGATGCTTTCTCGCAAGTGCAAACGGTTTCTAAAAGCTTAAAAACAAGTGAGCTTTCTACCAGCACCGTAGGTGAAAGTGGATGATAAAGAAAAATAGATGATCGCATTTGACCTACTTGTAGAACTGTAAAAAGATTGTTGTTACGTAATGCCTTCTATTTTGAGAAATTAATCTCTTATTTAAAGTTATTGGCTCGTTCTAAACAATGCCTAACAATGGACGATACCATACAGAAATGCAATAGCAAAAATACGACACCCAAAACAGTACTAATTACAATTAATAAGATTTACTTAAGTATTAATATAATTACTAAAACAAAGAAACATAATTACAATCATCAACTTACAGAGTGTGAGAAGTCTTGTACCGGTACACAGTTATACTAGTACAATGTGCCAATTTATAAAGTACAATGATGAATGCGAATAAACACATACGAGTATACACAGAGTAATACAATTGTCTCGTGAAATGAAAAATATCTATCCATCAATCTCTCTCCTTAATGTTCTTTGAAACCCTTATATATGCAGCGTAAGACGCATTCCAGAAAAGACTTAGACATTGTTTACTTTTCTAGTGCAATCGCGAACTTTCCATAACATACTATGACATAACTGAAACAGGTGTAGCCAAACTTCTCAAAAACCTGAAACCCAATAAAGCGCCCGGACCTGACTGTATCCCGAACTTTGTCCTGAAGACCCTGGCTGACAACATTGCCTCAACCATGACCCACATTTTTCAAAAGTCGCTTGACTCCGGCAAACTCCCACTAGACTGTCTTGATGAAACATCACTAGTGCCTACAAGAAAGGTGACCGTCATAACCCAGCAAACTACCGCCCAATATCCCTGACCTCCATTCCATGCAAAACCCTAGAGCACATCATCTATCGCCACATCATGAACCACCTTGAACACTACAACATTTTTTTCCGCTCTGGATTCTCAACAGAAACTCAATTAATCATCACCACCAATCACCTCCTTGCCTCCTATGACAAAGGTACTCAGGTCGACATGTTAATTCTCAAATCTCCAAGGCCTTTGACGCTGTTCCACACAGCCTTCTTCTACATAAGCTGCACCACTATGGCATTACCATAAATCTTCACTCATGGCTCTTAACATTCCTAACACAAAGTACCATGCAAGTAGTGGCAGACCGCGTCCGATTAGGGAAATCCAACGTAGAATCAGGAGTTCCACAAGGCTCAGTGCTGAGCCCCCATTCTCTTTCTCTGTCAAATAAACGACCTCCCTATTACTGTAAAATCTTAGGTTAGGCTGTTTGCAGATGACTGTCTTGTCTACAGAGAGATAAACGGCCATGATGACCACAACCACCTCCAAACAGATTTGAAGTGCCTTATGAAGTGGGCGAACAAATGGGGCATGAGATTTAATGAAACCAAATCCTACTCAATGACCAGCTAAAGAAAAAAATCTTCAACCTATATGTACTCACTAGACAATTCTCCAAGAAGTATCAAATAATCCATACCTTGGAATTCTCTTCTCAAATAAACTAAAATGGTCACCCCATATAAACAAATTTTAAAATAAAGTAAACTCCAAACTAGGTTTCATTCGAAGAAATCTGCGCCATTGCCCAACTTCCTGCAAACGAATGCCTATCTCGCACTCGTCCGCCCACTACTAGAATATGGTGCAATCATCTGGGACCCACACCTTAAGCAAGAAGTGGACACGATGGAGCGAGTTCAACGTAACGCGGTGCGTTTCATCGCACGAGATTACAAATCCACCAATTCTGGCTTCGTCACTGGCCTCTTAAAAAGATTTGACATCCCCTACCTTAAAGACATACGAGAGGGACTCCACCTGATATTCTTATATAAAGTGGTCATGGGGCTGGTGCCGGCCATCCCAGAAGGCACGTACCTCAACCCACAGAAGCCGGGTCGATTGATCAGAGCCAAACGCTCCCTGAACAATGATTTCATAACTGACAACCCCATAAAGAATTACATCCGAAACATTAGCAAGTGCTTCACTGCGCCTCGATGCACACAGTACAGTATAAACAATATTCCTTCCCACGCACAATAATTGCTTGGAACAACCTGGACAATGCCTCTGTGAACTCGACATCGGTCGAAAGCTTCAAGGCTGCCCTGGTATCTGCTAGGAGATGTTAGACTAGCAACACCTTTCCCCCAACCGTTGCACAGATGCCAGTATATGGATGCTGCAATGAACACTACCAGAACAAGAACCAGAAATGTTAAAATTTACGAGCTTACTTTTTATTTAATTTTAGCAATTTAAAAATAAATTATATTTATTAATCTTACTTATTTGAAGGGGAAAATACATATTAGTTTTTTCACGATCGGTTATAAAATCAAAGAAACTGAGAGCTGTGGCTATAATAGGCAATAGCGATGTGACCTCAGTTTTATTTTTATTTCGCAATATAGAAACGTACTAAAAATAACAGATGTTTGTGTTTACACGATAAATGTGATTATAATGTAATTCATAGATCATAATTTTTTAAAATAATTTTTCTCATAACTTTTAAATACAAATAAAATGCTTAAAATAGTTCCTTGGTTGTTACTTTAAATGTATTTGTAATTTATAATAGTAATACTTAAACTTTTACTAAAATGAAAGCCGAGATATAATTTTTTTTTTCGCATTTAAAGTTATTTGATTTCCGTAAAATAATAGAATATAACTATGTTTGTTTTTAAGAATCTTAAAAGATCTAAATATTTTCAGTTCTTTGGAGTTACGGTCAGCATCGCTAATTCTTTTATATATATATATATATATATATATATATATATNTATATATTAAAATAGATGTTAATTGAAATACGGAATTTCATCTTCCACGTTATTTATATCTTTTCTATGTTGTGAAGGAGAATACAAAGAGATCTGCTATGCTAGCAATCAGTTTGCACCGTCAACAGTTTTTAACTGAATTGTGTAAAAATGGAATGAGTCTTAAAGCGATGCTTTCCTCCCCAGGATTTATGAGTCGACTGTATTCTAAGGTACCCTTATTTCTGCACACCTTTAATATTATACAATTAAATGAGTGCCAATATTCTTTTTTGTCTTAATTTTTTTCCCTCGGAGCAATCCAACTTATAACATCAAAAGAATATTTATTTATTTTTTTTTTACATTTCTTTTACAGGCATCGTGGAGAGAGTATGCCGATATCAAAGAGGTATTCTTGTAAAAAAATTAAAAATCACTGCCTAGATTATAACTTAGTGAGCTTCTAGTGCAGGAAAAAGTATTTTTTTTATTAAAAAAAAAGAATTATTACATTTTTTTTTAAAAATCCATAGATTTTTTTTAAAAAGAACATGTTAAAGATAACGTAAAGAAGACAAAATATGCTTTTCATTTTAAAAAATGTTTTCTAGGGTAGAGGCCTACAAAAGAGTCACATTGAGTCAAACCTGAAACGCCACATAGAACTAAACATTGGCTCCATAGACGACGGAGGTAAAACAACATTATCCTTTTTGTAAGCGTATAAATAGCAATGTGGTTAGTGGTTAATTTTGACTTTTTATTTAATTGGCTTGGAAGCTAACATATTTCTATTATTATTACTTTGTTAAGACAACACAAGAATTGAATAATCATTTATCATTATTAAATGTATTTACTTAATGCAACAGTGTCATGGATTATTTTTGAACAATTTCCCGTGTACTTTATCGGTGCATATATTTTATTGGGTTATACATTATTGAAGAGTTACCATATAACAGTGCTGAACAATGATTCCGGGGAAATTTTTATTTATTTTATGTGTGCACGTTCCAAAACCTCCACGTTCCAAAACCCTGTCATGCCAAAGAATGCGTAAAATGCGACGCAGACATCTTTGATGGAAGCTGTTGAGTTTCCGCTCCTGAGTGGTACATGTGGTCCACACTTTGCTTCCATATAGGAGCGTGCTAAGCACTCATGCCTGATAGACACTTATTTTTGTTTTATCAGGTAGATTGAGCTTATGCCACACCAGCTTATTCAGTTTAGCCATAGTTGCTGCTGCTTTTGCAACCCTGATATTTATATCTTCATCAACGGCGAGAGAACTAGAAATATTGGATCCCAGCTTGGGCGCCCGCAGGGAAAGACAAGGGGGGGGCACTTGCCTCCCCCTGGATTGATTGGATAAAAAAAATTTTAGACAAAAATAGACCAAAAATGTATTAAAGTAAAGAGAAAATAAAGAGAAAGTAACCAAGCTGATGTCCTGTCCTTTCGTTCACTATACAAATACGCTACACTAAATTAAAACTACCTTAAAACATTACTAAAAAATGTTTGCCCCCCCCCCCCCCCCTGAAAAGTTAATCGATTTTTTTGCCCACCCCTCCCTAGAAAGTTTTCTGCGGGCGCCAATGGATTCCAGGTAAATGAAATGATCAACAACCGAAAGATCATGACCCTCAATAGATATGATTGGTGGGGACGGTGCTTCTTCCTTAACGTAACATTGTATAAAAATAAAGGGGACCGAAGTGATTGCAATAACTGCCGAGGCATTTCTCTCCTTAGCTTAGTTGGAAAGACTTTTGCCCGTGTTGCCCTTAAACGATTACAGAGCCTTGGGAACCGCATATATATATATATTAGAATAAGCCAATGACTTTGCTTACGTTCTGGTCATTACCATGAAAAATAAAAAATCTCCGGAATCAGACCAAACAGCGTGCACATCTTTTTTAATAGTCGCGTAAAATTAAGCTCCATTTTTTAAATGGGATTCCTTAAAACATTGAAACAGCATTTTATTTATTATTTATTTAACGAAAATCTCATCAATATATATTGTATATATATATATATAAAAAATTTGTCTGTGTGATCTTTTGAATAGTTCCACTTGAAGAACCTGAACTGTTATTTATAACATCTGTCCTTGAGTCGAAACTGGAAGTGTCTATTCTGTATTGGTCACATGTTCGCGTAAGTTGAAATAATGTCTTGAGATCGAAAGATTGAATTTTATACTTTCTCCTTTTTTTCCTTTGTAAAGTTTGTAAAAATAACTATGATAATGAGGTTTAAGTTTTTTAATGTAATAACTAAAGATAAATATTTTTTTTTTAAATATATGTTGGGTTTTTAGCATCCACTTGCAGCAGCTCTAATAGCTTATGGGATCTTCAAAGCGATGCGGAATTCTAGATCCAATGATCAAAAGATTTTAAAGGAAAACATGGTGTAAGTTTAACAATACATTTTTTAAAAAATCGAATAATGTGTATAGCCTGTACTAATATAGTCATTTATCTCACGCTTCCTTTCATATCTCTCCGGTATGTGAATTTGTGTAGATATAGAAAATTAGATATTGTATAAATATATCAAGAAATATTTTCCAAACTCTTTTTATTCCGGTGGTAATTTTTTTTTTAATACACATTTTTAAGTGCACTAATGTGTTTTGTTTCAATATATCAAACACTCATTTCCAGCGTTGGGCACAACAGATATGAATGGATGCTGGTAACAAAATAATATCTGCAATTTCTTTTGAAATTAAATTTTATTAACTAGACCGGGGGGGGGGGTCAGATTAGCCATAAAGCAATTAATTCAATTGCTTAAGATCTAATATAAATCATTAAAATAGCTGTTGATTGTTTCTAATTTTCTATTTAGTTTTAGGGATATATTTTTAAAAAGATGAAAAAAAACAATTATCTCATTAGCATTGGCTTCTAACACTATTTATTTATACCGAACAGTAGTGTGAAACAAAATTACGGAACCAGCTTCCATCCAAAACCTGTTTTTGCAGGATTCTGAATGATTTTCTATTGGCACGCCCAAGGTAGCATTTGATTAATCACCACCATACCACATACAGATCCTGCTTTGGGACTGTAAATGTATCTTCAGTCAGCTGTTAGCTGAAGATGGGACAAAACCTTGTCGTAATTGAGATGGTGTATACACTAAATCCATTTAGAATAACGCCAAAAGAATATTTTTTTTAAAAACAAATTTGCGGAATATCTATTTCGTATTCAACTGGGGCTTATTTGTTTTGTTTCTATATTTCAGGTCGTATAAGAGCTCTAGCAAACCTCCGTTTTGTGCTATTGACCTATGTCAAAAAACATTTTGATCTCAGCGATCAAGTTGACACAAACTAGCACTAACAACATATGCGATACCTTAATTATTTTTTTTAAAGTACATACATTAGAGAAACATAAGTTTCAACGTTAGATTTGAAAATTTAACTTGTAAACTTTGAGTCGAAAATATTGAATAAAGTCTTAATTTTTTTAAAACAGCATTTGCTCCTTTACTACATTGAAAGTGTGGCGGAACCACGTTCAAGTTCGATGATCTATCATAGTAACTGATCAACCAAACGATTCAAATGCGACTTTAAATTTATATTTGTTTTTTAGTTTGTTTCCAAGTTTAATCAAAAATAAAATATGTATAATTTGTTTACAAATTATATTTTCCAGTGCTTATTTGAGTTCTTTTGATGTTATGTTTGCTCAAGGCATACAAGAAGTAAATCCGGCTCTGCATTTAAATAAACTATCGTCTAATTATTAAAAATAAAAATTAGAGAAACTTGTCACCGTTCTAAAAAGCCATATCTAGTGTTAATCAATTAAAAAAACACATTTAAGGCTTCTAACGCTCTGACAGATTTTATTTTTAGTAAAATATGACTCTTCATAAAAATATATAGCATGCATCTAAAATTTGTTTTAAAGTTTTAGTAGTTATACTTTACTTTAATTATTTTACTTTTTTCTAAATCTGTGTAGTACATATAGAAAACTTGCCATTGAGGCAACATTTAAAGGATTCTTCAGTAGCAAGACGAGATTATTCGAATTGTTAGCCGCAGGAATACCAGAATGGGGGCATCTATCTTGCATTGACATAGCATTGGCCACAGGGAATAAAAAGTTCCTTTCCAAGACTCCAACAATCGAATTAAGAAATCACATCTGGTCTAAAGAGGTGAGGCATAGTTTAAAAAAAAAAAAATGAAATTTATGTTTGAGCGCTTATTTAAAACTAAACCGTGTTGCCCACAATTGATTTTGAAAAAAAAGAAATCTTAAAGAGCCATTTAACCAATTTGAAAGTGAGGGCCTTGCAGAAACACGTCACTAAATTAAAAACAAACAATAACATTTTCATTTTTCTCATTTATCTAAAGATATAATTCGCCATCAAAGGTCAAACACCACCACCACGCAGGCTATATATTGATACGCCAGAGTGTGATTCAATAATGTGTTCACTAGCGCGCAAAATATAACTCCCGTTAACTAAGCTGAATGATATATATATAATAACGCAATTGCATTTGGTGCGTAATATTTTCTCTTCGGAAATGAAATCGTCTCAATTTAAGTATGGGGAAAAAATATTCGGTTTAAAAGTGGTTAGGACATGAGAATATTAATATAGTTCATGGGCGTGAAATAAAAAGTGTGCAGTGACGCATCATGGATGAAGGAGTATATAAAATATTGGCATTCTTAAATGTGCGTTACTTGAGTTCATGTTTTGTCAAGTAACTTTACCAGATGGGAAGTTCACGCATTGCTTTCGCCAATGTTTGGCGGGCTATAACTAGTATATATAATTCGCCAGCAAAGGTCAAACAACACGCACGCTATTTATAGATATGCCAGAGTGTGGTTCAATAATGAGTTCACTAGCGCGGAAAATATAATTCCCGATAACTAAGCTATATTTGATTTTTTTTTTTTAGTAACGCAATTGCGTTTGGTGCAAAATATTTTCTTTTCGTAAAATAAAATCGTCTCAAGTAACTTTATTAGATTGGAAGTTCCCGCATTGCTACCGCCAATCTTTGGCGGGCTATAACTACGCTAAATGATGTATTTCTGTTTTTAATAACGCAATTGCATTTGGTGCGTAATATTTTCTTTTCGGAAATGAAATCGTCTCAATTTAAGTGTTGGGTGAAAAATATTCGGTTTAAAAGTGGTTGGGACATGAGAATATTAATATAGTTTATGGGCGTGAAATAAAAAGTGGAAAGTGATGTATCAGGAAAAAGGGGGAGGGGGGTGTAGCAAAATTGACATTTATAAATGTGCGTAACTTGAGTTCACGTTTTTGTCACGTAATTTTAGTGGATGGGAAGTTCACGCATTGCTACCGCCAATGTCTTGCGGGCTATAACTAGTATTAATATATTTCAGAAGAGGTGGCGTATTGGGGGGGGGGGGAGGGGGGAGCATTAATTGTGTATTTTATAAATTGCATTACTTAAAGGTATTTTTTAAAATTAACTATAGTAGATGGGAAACTCGCTCATTGCGACCACCATTGTTTGGTGAGCTATAGCTAGTTATAATGAAACCTAAACTACTAAATGAGAGCATTGATTTTAAGAGCGATCATTTTATTGTATAATATCCGGGAAGCACGTAAAAGCTGTCAGATTAAGGATAAATTCAAAATCTTTCGGTCCTCACTTTGAGAGAAAGATTTCGCCCTGATCTCGTTAACTTATCTGTGTTAGCGTTTTTTGAGAAATTAGCTTTACAAATGTATTTTGCTTTTTTAAAAAATTCGTCAAGTGTAGTTGGTTTTGTTTTATGATTTCGGTATCTTTTTTTTTATAAGTATATAATTGGCGTTTAATGAGATATTATAAGTTAGCACACCAGCAGGTTATATTAAAGTTTAAAATGCTTCCGACTGTTGCACAGTAGAATTTGCTAATAATTTTCTTTCTAAACCCAAATTGTGCTTTAAACATAGCAAAGTATTTAAGGAGTGCTGTGATGCATTTTTAAATCCTTTATATTAATTTGGCTTTGTTCTTGGCTGGCTGGATGGATGGCAGGCTGGCAAAATCTTCGAAAGGCTAATTATCCAATTTTCGGTCAACCTATCTGGCACATAGGCTTATGCCAATGCCAACATCTTCTATCATATTGTTAGCCCCATCCCCAACCCAGTGCCGTCTTTACAGCATCAGAGGCCCTGGGCACAGTAATGCAGTGAGGCATCTAACCATTTATATTCTCAGGGCCATGCGATGGAGCGGGCGAGATGACCTATTGCCCCAGGCGATAGTATCAAGTGGCAGCAAATCGTCTTACGAAGGCCATTTGTAGTTAATTAAACGATAAAATATCATATACTTTATATAGACTTTGGGGGAAAAAATCGTCTTACCAGTGTTCCCTGGGCACCGCTTTTCCTGGATACGGCTATCTATAGCCTACTGTTCAAGTAATTGAATGAAAATAACTATGGCCTAGTATAAACTATGCCTCTAGACCATCTTCTTTTAGATGATTTTCAGCTTGGGGGTGGGCATAGTATTTTGGGCTTTTATGGGAGGTGGGCATCTATCAGCACCGAAATTTGGGAATTTTGATGACCAGGGCCAGCTCTGGCTTCGTCGCCACCGCCATATATAACCATAAATTCATTCTCTTAGTAAACACCCCCCCCCCCCGAGAGAATGCTTTTAGCCCCAACTGAGTTTCATTCCTAAAATATTTCTGCGTTTGCTGCGTAATATTTTTTTTCTTTTTTTCTAAAATATTGGGTTAAATAGATCTGTTGTGTAAAGGCGGGTGGGTCATTAGATTTTATTTTTATTTGACATAGTTCCGGGCATAAAAGAAATGTGCATTTGCACATTAGGAGGAGCAGTAATTGGAACTCTTATAAAGTATGTTAATTATATGTATTTTTTGTCCAATTTTTAGCCTACCCCCTCCCCCCCCCAATTGTTCGATATTACATTTTATAAAAGATTTATGCGAAAAAAATTGTTTTTAGGGATTCTTTAATTAAGAATATAATTATGCTATGATCATTAGGTATTCATGTAACACGTACTAATTGTTTTATTATGGTTAATTTACGCCCATACATTACATACCACTTTAAAAAAATATTAAGATTTTTTTTTTCAGACCCTGTCAAATGATGCGTGAGTAATATTAAAACTAAGTTACAGTTTGCACGAAGATTTAAATTTCTAATATTTAACAATTGGTGTGCAGACACCCTAAAAGTTTAGGCTTACATTTTGTTAACGTTCAATAAATGTATTGCTGGATAATAATTAACATTTTATTTGTTTTAGATTAAATGCTGGACCTGTATCTACCTGCATCCATATTACACCAATCAGAATTTGGTGGTTTAGCTTTGTAAGTTGTTTCTTTTTTTTTAAGTATATGATTTTAACGCTTAAAAGCATATAAAACTTGAATTTAATTATGTTCATTATATTGTATAAAAATACCTATTCAGTACATTCAGAACAATAAAAATTGATTTCAAATTATTTTATGCCAAATTTTCTAAAACGATTAAATCGTTTTATAAACCAAACGACTGTTCTATTAAATTGATTCAAAATCCAGTGATAGCAGTAAAAACAAACTTAAGCAAAATACCACAACTCCTCTTCAGATCAGTTATATCATACTTCTTGGACTATACAGTTTCATGCTGCTCACGTCATTAGAAACAGCGACATTTAATGTGCTTGAGTGGTTTTTATGGTTTTTGTTTCTTGTGGTGGTCTTTCTAAAAGTGGCCATTTTACGAAAGGTAAGACTATTTAAATTAATTTGGCAACCAAGATGTATATAATGTAAAAAAAACCCACATGTTTTTCAACTACTTTTTATTACTAGTCTGTCTCTATGCTCAGGACATCTAAGCGATGTATACTTTTCTGATATTGAGCGTGTTCATAAAAAATAACAATCACTTATGATTAACAATTTTCCTTGTTTTTTAATTAGTTATAATATGTTTGTAATGTATTTTTTCTAAAGATTTAGTTAGAATTTAAAAGGTATATAAAAATATGAATATCCTAAATATTATAGTTTTTCGTTTCAATTTTGTGTTTTTTTAATGCAGCGACAAAACATGGGTTTGAGCAAAGATAACTTCCATGTCCTGAAAAGTACTTCATTGGCGTTTTTTTTCTTGGCGTGGATTTTTCGCATCGCTGCATATTGTAGAATAGATGTACCAGAGCTGATGCAATTTTCAAGGGTTTTCTACAGCGCTAGCTTCATCCTATGGTCCTTGGGTCTATTAAAGTACTGTTACTATTTCGAATATCTTGGTCCCATTGTCGCAATGATATTGGAAATGGTAAATACCTGTAACGAAATACAAATAAAGAATACAAATGTACTTTTACGTTTATTATTCCAAATAATTTTTTAACAAATCCTGATTGGGTATGTCCTCAATTCGTATATTTTAATTTTTTTTATTTGAACGAGTAAAAAGTAAAAGAACAAGTTATAACATGAACTATTTTGTGGAGATATTGTATGCGCTTCCAAATAATCACTATTGTACATTTTTAAGTTATGCAAATAGCAATTAATCCATTTTGATCTCATTTGCTTTTCTTTTTGCAGTTTTCAACTTTGGTGAAATTCCTCGTAGTGATTTTGATATGTATGGTGGCATATTCTGTTGCATCTGAATCAGTGTTGTACCCGAATGCTGAAATAAATGTCAAATTGCCTTTCTTTGTGTTGAGGAAGTCTTTCTGGTCAATTTTTGGACAGTTTTTCTTGGAAGAGATTGAATCAATTGGTAATTATAATAAGATAACTGTTTATCAATTGTGTATATATATAAATATATATTGAATGTTTCCTTGTTAACCTCAACTGATGCTTATTTTCGTAATTAATAGCACAAGTAGTTGGTTATATTATAAATTCCCATTAAATACGAAATCAACGAATGAGATAATGTTAACATTGACACATTTTTTGTTTTTGTTGTTGTTGTTATTGGTAATATTTGCTTATTTAAAATACCATGCAATTTATTAAAACTATTTTGTTTTTAAAAGTTTTGATCAAGTGATATATTTTTACCTTTACAGTCGACGCTAAAACTCATCGGCGTTAAATAAACATTAGAAATGAAAATTGTTTATATGAAACTTAATAATGTCTCCTTCCTAGATCGCAGTTGTACTAATGACCCAGCCATCTATATCTACCACCCAGAAACAAGATGCCCTTCAGTTGAAGGAAGATATTGGGTGCCTATGATATTGGGAGCATTTGTACTTGTTGTTAACATTCTGCTCATCAACTTGCTTATTGCCAAATTTAAGTAAGTATATCTATCAAAAGCTCCTTTTTATTGTCTATAGATTAATGGAGAGATTTATAGAATTTTACTGTGTATCTCAGAGGAATTTTCTAAAATGTTAATCCACTTACTGACTTTTTATCGATTTTTGTATTTTAATAATTACCAGATCTTTAAAATTTGGAAATAGTCTGCAATTACAATACAAAACGGTTAACGTAATAATAAAAAAAAAATTAATCTAACATATTTATTTTAAATATTTATATTTTGAAAAATTTATTTTGTCATTTGTGATGTTTTAAGTAAAGAAACATAATAGATGTGAAAAAATGATTACCTAGTTGTTGAAAATTGATTTTAAAAAAAAATGTTAACATTTTATTTTCCCCGCTATGAATAACTCTTAATTTCCATTCTTTTTTTATTTCAAGACAATATCTTTCTTTAACTACGTTTCAGCTCCATAATTATTTCAATTGAAATAAGAGCATTGAAGATTTGGCATTATCAGAATTTCCAAATTGCAATGGAGAGCCGGGAAATACAACAGTTTCTGTTTCATAAAAATCCTCGTAAGTTTTGATGCTTGTATATTGTTTTGTCTTGATTCTACGAGCCGTTTATTAATACAACTCAAGTCTGTTGTCTAATACATGCCACCATGGGTTGAAAAAAATTGTCAGCATTCTTCTATTTTTTATTAAGAAGAAAGTCCACAGAAAGAAAAGAAACGTAAAAGAAAATCATTTTAAAAAAAACACAAAGCCACTGAAGACGGAAAGCGGCTGACATTTTGAGGAAAAATAAATGTTTATCTCACAAGAAGTTTTCAATAGTCCTCCAAGAGGATTGATTAATCAGATTGCTAAAGCAGCAGAAAATTTCCTTGCACATAAACTCTACAAAAGAAAACAGTCAATTCGACGACAATCCAGTTTGATTTTTTTTTTAAATTGCGTGCAAACAAATCAGGATGAAACGATGTTCGCCTGACTCTTTTTTCTTTTGTTTTGTTGTTGTTGTTGTTGTTGTTGTTGTTGTTGTTGTAAAACAGTAGCTTTTAATTGTTTTAAAAATAATGTGCCTCGGATATAATTTAAAGGAGATAACCAAAATAATAACATCCGGAAAAAAAATGTGAAACAACCAAAGCGACTGAGCCATGTCAAAATGTTCCTGAAAATCTCTTACTTCCTAAAGCAATGTAAAAGGAATATAGTGACGCAGTCATAAGAAACATAGAAGTAGAGTTAAGAAACAACATTTGAAATTTCTCAACAAACCTATAAACTAGTTTTATATTTTGCCAATTATATTAATTTGTCTTGTTTATTTTAACCCCTGCTCTACAATATTTTTACAGCAAATAATCCTCCCACACAATCACGTGAAGGCAACTTTGAAAAAGAAGTAATAAGACACTTAACACAAGAAATTAACGATGGAAGGTAGATAAAACTGTTGAACAGAAATTTAATTATTTTAGTTAAGCTATGATTCTTTTTTTAAATACCTTTAAACTTTTAAATTTATTATTATTGTGTTGCAAATCATCTTGCAGGGCAAATTTTTTGTTCAATAAACTATTAATTTTCTATTCTTTTCTTTTCTTTTTTTAAAATTAGATTTTTTGAAAGGTTAGAGAACTACAAAAAAAGCAGTAAGTATATTTAATGCACATTCATTTTAGTTTTTTTTATTTTCATGGTTTGGAAAAGGGGTGGGGGGTTGTGGAGGGGGGGGGGAATGGGCTAATTCGAAACGGGTTGTAGAATAAGATAAGCTTAACATGATTACCCTCTTTGGTATATGCTATAAAAGTATCACTTACTGCCTGCGGTCTATTTACAAATTGTTTTCCCTTACATTGGGGAAGACACGAAATTTCAATAACTTTTAAGAACGTCATGTTTGTTTGAAATTGTTTTTGGTCAGATTTCTTAAATTATTTGTTCATAAGTATTTTTCATAAAGTTTTTATTCTAATATAAAAATTTAAATTTCCATTCAAACTGATGTTTTATAGTTTATCTTCTTTTCTATAAGTCTTGAAATGTGATTTCTTGTCGAAAAGATTTCAATTATTATTATAATTAAATTAATTCCAAACCATGAGCATACATTAAGATAGGTTTTTTTAAACATAAATTAAACACTTATGCTAATAAAAAGAGTTCTTTACTCTTCAACAGTAACATTTTGTTATTGCTTAGGAAACTATTTTTTCTTTGTAAATTTTCAGTGTAATAATTACTTAATAACAAATGACCAATAAGTGATCTCAGATAATTCACATTTTCATAAACATATGTGATTCTATAAAATGATGTGAGCTCAAGATCTTAGTCTGTGTAACAAATAACTTTATTCTCAATTCCACATTCCCCCCCACCCCCACCCCCCCCCTAACATGACCATTCACTCCAGTTGTCTAACGAATATTTGAACATTTAAGTTTATACATTCATGAAAAGTTTTATTGCAATCGTATGCAATCGTATGCTGGTATCGAAACGCATACGAACATTATATTTATAGAGCTCATCAAAGGAAAAAAAAAAGCTCCGAAAGGAATATTAAAAAATGGCTGTACTAATTTAGCAACCTACTTTTTTTGTCCCACACAAAACTGAGATATCGCTTTTGGCATGTGATTAAATTCCATCCACAAATGAATTACCTTTGTTTAAATTCCATCCACCAATGAATTACCTTTTTTTAAATTCCATCCACCAATGAATTACCTTTGTTTAAGCTCCATCCACCAATGAATTACCTTTGTTTAAATTCCATCCACCAATGAATTACCTTTGTTTAAATTCCATCCACCAATGAATTACCTTTGTTTAAATTCCATCCACCAATGAATTACCTTTGTTTAAAATTATATTTATATAGCTGATATAATAAAATCAACTAATTTAGGGTCCCTGGATTAAAACGAAACATTGTAATATGGTTGTTTTAACTTGAAACATTTGCGGGCGTGCACACAAAAATTCACCAACATTTTATCGCCATCGGATGAATGGTATAGGAACGCATGCAAAATGTTATTTATATACCTCTTTTAGAAATAAAAAGAATTTAAGGCCCCGGCCCCAAACGAAATATTGTAAAATGGTGGTACTAATTCAGGAAGCTTCACGGATATTTTCACAAAAACTCACCAAAGTCTTATCGCAATCGTATGAATGGTATCGGACTCAACGAAAAATATATTTATATAGATCATTTAAAAAAAAAAAAACGAATTGATGCCCCACGGCCCCAAACTGAATATTGTAAAATGGTGGTACTAAATCAGAACCTATTTACAATATAACATACAAACTGAACTGTCACTCTTTACATGTGATTAGAATTCCACCCTATCCTGCCTGAGATCTGTTTTAAATTATATGTAACATTGATCAAATAAGAAAAAGAACGACGTTAACTGTTAAGGCCCCCGACTCAAAACGGAAATTTGTAAAATGGTTGTACTAATTCAGAAATCATTGCACGCGGCGTGCGCACAACAACTAACTATATATATATAAATATATATATATATATATATATATATATATATATATATATATATATATACATATAAAAGACAAAAGATATATGTATTAAGTATTATATGTCAATATATAAAAGAAAGATATATAGTCAACTAAGAAAACCGAAAGTTTGTCAATCGTGGTTGATTACAAGAGTAAGTAGGAAATCTTCGAGCAGTATTCCTTATTTTCCAACACTCCTAAACACTTACTAAACACTAAATAGTGAACTAAAATAAGGTCGTAATATAGAAATAACATTATACTTACAATCCGTTCGATTGTGAAAAGCACATGAAAAGAATTGTTTTAGCACTAACCAAAACAGCTTATTAGTTCAACACATATTTTTAAAAAAAACAAATGTTACTATAAAACTGTTTAGCCATCTATAATTTCCACGCGTTAAACGTTTTACCGAAGGAACACACATGTTTAAAACGGCCTTGAGATGAAACATGTAAAGGTATAGAGAAGTCATTCTTTTAAACCAAGTACATGAATATTGAATAAAAGAAAATTCACACACATTTTGAATTCGAATAAGTCAATACAATTGTGGAAAAAATTATCAGAAAAGTTAACATTAAATACTTATAACAATTTCAAATACAACAATTCAGCAATACGTTTTATAAACTTTCTTAAACTTTCGTAACAGAAGCTAAAGATTTGCCAGGAGTATTTATAAAGTTAAAAGAAATTATTGACTCGCAAGTAATGTAAGTATCTTGGTATTTTTTACTTAATTAAGGTGTTGTTTTTGCCTTCGATTTCCTTACAAGTCGATGCAGCAATGTTTTATTTTTTAACAATACTACACACATATTACAAGATAATACATACTACAAGGTAACACACAATAAATAAACTTTGATGCAGCATTTTTTAAAGAATTTTTTTATTCCGAAAAATTCTCCAGTTAGGCAAACACTTCCGTTAACACAAATCTCCCCTGTTACAACTCAAATTTTTAAGACTTAAAAACAACAGCAAAAATAAATGTAAAAATTTGACCAAATTTCCAGTTTAACTGAATTCGGCCAATCTTCAGTTCGAACTACTTTTCATTCGACCAAAGTTCCATTCAGCTTAATATCCTGTCTACCAAACATCTGTCGATCTATTTTCAGTGTAGCGAATTTCTTTCTAAAAATTTCCATATAGTTAACAAATCATTTTTAGAGATTATCATAAAATAATCTTTCATTCTGTGGTGAATCAGAAATGCTGCTTTTTGTGATAGCTACATACTTATATTAATTATTTAAACTTTTCAAAATATTACTATAATATTTAAAATTGAATTTCAAACTCTTCTTACTTAGTTCCTTAATGTGTGCATCTAAAGTTAATTACAATGGTTGGCATGGCAGTGCTAAATCAATAAAAAGGAAATGGTAGGAAATAACAGATGAAACTACAAGACTGTTTATAATAGTGAAAAGAAAGTTATGTTGGTCAGCGGTTTTCTTGGAAATTCGTCTCTCGCGTAGGAAATAGCATTCATAGGTGTGTATTCTTTTCGCTCATGCTCAAGTAATCCTAATGGGTGACATTATAGGGAGAAAAAGGCAGCAAAACAATGCAGTAAGTCTCTCTAAGAAAACGGCACCAGTAACACATTTAAGCTGACTATTGTTACGAAATATTTTAGTTTAGGTTTTCGTATCTAGCAACAGTTACTTTTCTACATGACTTCCCTTTAAGTTAACAGAGGGCACTTTAAGAACTAAAAACTATCGTTTAATGCCTTTTTTTCACCCGCATGCTATATATCTAAAATATAATGACTTTAATTTATGTAGGCATGGAAATTTGCTGACCAAATATAAAACAGATGTAAATAAAGTTCAAGGCACAAGTACGTTATTTTGTCATTTATATGATAATTATGTGGTTTGAACGTAACAAAAAACATTTATAAAAATAAAGAACTATAAACTCTGAAATAACGAATTAAATTGTATCCTAAGGTGAGACAATTCTGAAAGAAAATAATAAAAATCATAATCAATATATTTAATTTATTTTAAATCAAACTGATTCTTATCATTTACAACTCAGTATTCTCTGTGATTTTGTTCCTAGTTAAAAAAGTCGACCTATTGCAACAGACAAGGCATGAACAATCCTTGCAGGAAAATAGAAATCATTTTGACCAACTTGGTAAATAATCTTTAATATATTAATTGTATGTACAAATTATTAAATTTAACAACAGTTGCTTTTTCACTTGAAATATAAAAAAAAAAATTTTTTTTTTTTTAATTTATTATTTATTTTTTTTGGGAAAAACTAAAATCTCTTCAATACTAGGAACAGGATTTGAAGTGAAAAAAGAAGTGGTCAGTGCAGTCATAGGCTTCAAACCAGAGAACGAAAGATTGTGTTATTTGCGTGTGCGAGGAAAAATGTTCAATATAACACTAATAAATGTACATGCTCCAACGGAAGACGCGGAAGATCAGGATAAAGAATCCTTCTATGAAACCCTGGAAAAGATCTACGAAGAGGCACCACGACATGATATTAAAATAGTGATTGGAGACTTCAATGCTAAAATAGGAAAAGAAAAGGTGTTCATGCCAACTATTGGCAAGGAAAGTCTGCATGAAGATACCAATGACAATGGGATCCGACTCTTGACTTCGCGGTAGGAAAAGGGATGTCAGTTAGCAGCACCAAGTTTCCGCACAAAAATTTACATAAAGCTCCGTGGAACTCACCAGATGGAATCACCCGCAATCAAATCGATCACGTTTTAATAGATCGAAGACATGGATCAGATATATTAGATATTAGAAGCCTAAGAGGAGCAGATGCGGACTCGGACCATCTACTTGTAAGGGTGAAATATAGGCAGAGGATAAGCTTAGTTCACAATGGTCGTGATCAAAGAGAGAAACGATACAATTACCAAAAGCTGCCCAAAGACCCATTAACTGCAAAAGCTTACCAGAGTGAAGGAGAAGCACAATTAGAAGCATCGAACGAGGAAATAAACGGGGAAAATAACATAAATGATCAGTGGGATAGGATAAAAAATGCCATTAAAAGATCAGCAGAAAAAGTAGTGGGATTTCAGCGAGCCAACAACAGAGTAGGCTGGTACGACAATGAATGCAGAGAGACTGTGGAAGAAAGAAACAAAGCACGAATGATCATGTTACAAAGGGAAACCAGAAATACAACACAAGCATACAAGGAAGCCAGAAGGAAAGCAACAAAAATGTGTAGGAAGAAAAAGAGGGAGTGGGAAAAGGATAAACTAAAGGAAATAGAAGATTTATCAAGAGAGAGAAATATAAGAGGAATGTACGTGAAGATAAAAGATGAAAAGAATGGATACCAAGCAAGACCGCAAATGTGTGAGAGCCACAATGGAGAATTAATCACGGAAAATAGTAAAGTATTGGAGAGGTGGGCAGAATATTTTGAGGACATACTGAATGCAGACAATAGACAAGAAGAAGATTATCAACTCCCACAGGGAGGACCAGACTTGTTTATACAATGCCCAACCCTAGAAGAAACCAAAGAGTTAATTAATTACATGAAAAATCACAAAGCCCCCGGACAAGACCTTATCACAGCGGAACTGATTAAATAGGGAGAAAAAGAACTACACAATCAGATACATAAACTTATAACTAAAATTTGGCAAGAGGAGAAAATCCCGACAAAATGGGAAACAGCATTAATAACCCCAATACACAAGAAAGGCTCCAAACTTCAGTGCACAAACTACAGAGGAATCTCCCTATTAAATGTTACATACAAAATACTGACTAAGCTTATTGCCAAAAGACTACAACCTTACACTGAAAAAATACTAGGTGATTACCAATGTGGATTCAGGCCTAACAGATCAACGACTGATCAGATTTTCACAATCAGATGCCTATTAGAGAAATGATATGAATTTAATATACCAGTGCATCAACTCTATATCGACTATAAAATGGCCTATGACAGCATCAAAAGAAACTATTTATATGAGACTCTGCAGGAGTTTGGGATACCGAACATATTGACAAGGCTAATACGTGTAAATCTAAGCAACTCAAAAAGCAAAATCAAGATTCAAGGAGAATTTTCAAGGGAATTTCATATTAGACGCGGCTTAAGACAGGGAGACTCACTGTCTCGTATGCTTTTTAACCTAACATTAGAGAGAGTTATTAGAAACATACACATTGACACTCGAGGAACGATAACAGGATACTTTCTGAGGGAAACTCAAGACCCACAACCAACGGGCACACTCTACAACCAACCACTTCAGTATCTTGCCTATGCTGATGACATAGCACTTCTAGGGAAAAGTATAAAAGACATATCAAAATCCTTTATTGAAATAGAAGACGCATCTTTACAAGCAGGGCTGGAAGTTAACAACCAAAAAACAAAATACATGACCATGATAAGAGAGGAACAAACAGAGGAAACAATTAAAATTAGAAACCAAACTTTTGAAAAAGTAAATCAATTCAAATACATAGGATCCTTGTTAAATGAAAGAAACGAATTACTAACAGAAATAAAAGAAAAAATATCAGCCGGAAACAGAGCATACTTCAGTAGTCAGAAAATACTCAAAAGTTAAAACATTACAAGAGAAACAAAGAAAACTATTTATCAAACTGTGATCAGACCAGTTGTAACATGTGCAAGTGAAACTTGGACCCTAACAAAAACAGCAGAAACCTATTAAACACATGGGAGAGGAAAGTTCTCAGGAAAATATGGGCCAACAAAGGATGAATATGGATGGAGAATACGAACCAACCAGGAATTATACAGTCTATATCAGGATCCTACGATAGTGGCAGAAATAAAAAGAGGCAGGCTACGCTGGGCATGACACCTATAGAGAATGCCAAATGACAGAGGAACGAAGAGGGTGCATCACCAATACCCCAGAGGAAAAAGGCTCAAAGGCAGACCTAGGCTTAGATGAATAGATGATGTAGAAAAAGATATACAGCAGCTGAAAGTCCAAGCATGGAAAAGGAAGGCATTAGTTAGGTCTGAGTGGAAGTAAATAGTGAGGCAGACCAAAGCCCTGCATGGGCTGAAGCGCCACAGGGATGGATGGATGAAAAATGTCTTCAATGTCTTTTAAAACAATCATAAATTATCATATTATATGATGTAAAATTATCATTTCAAATAATCTCAAAACTAATCTCCATTATTTGTTTTAATTACTTTAAAAAAGAATACAAAGTTAGTTTCAATTAGTGTGTAACCTTTTCATACAAAATCTTAAGATAAAATTTTGTAATAAATTTTAAATTCAAAATAAAAGGCTTATGCCTAAAACAGCTAAAGTGTAATACATTACCAAAAGATAAATATTGTTTTTATATTTTTACGCATGAACAGTTAATCATCAATTTGAACTTGTTCCACAGATCAAATGTATCATAACATCCAGGAATGTTTTAATTTGAAAATTCCAGAAGTAAAAGAAGAAATGAAGAAACTTAACGCCGAAAGCAATGCAATTCTTAGTAAGATCATTGACTTTTAATGTACTTTGTACATTTTAGAAAATTATTACAAAAATTCATATTCTTTCATTTATTCCATAATTGCTTTTATTTATTCAATGTTGTCGAAGTTTTAAATTTGTTTGATAACTTAGATTATAAACTATTAGATTGTAAAAATATTTACAAAGTATATCTTAAACAATTTTTTCATACTCTTCAAAAAAGTTCATCTCAAAATAAAATTGTTAATAAATTGTAAACTCAAAATAAAAAGTTTACGCTCAAAACAGATAAAATGCAGTACGTTACCAAAAGATTAATATTTTTTTTTAAATAATTATTCGCATAAACGATTAATCCTCAATTTGATCTCTTGTTCCTCAGATCAAATGTATCATAACATCCAGGAAATTTTTGACGGGAAAATCTCAGAAGTAAAAGAAGAAATGAAGAAACTTAACGCCGAAAGCAATACAATTCCTTGTAAGATCATTGACTTTTAATGTACTTTGTACATTTTAGAAAATTATTACAAAAATTCATATTCTTTCATTTATTCCATAATTGCTTTTATTTATTCAATGTTGTCGAAGTTTTAAATTTGTTTGATAACTTAGATTATAAACTATTAGATTGTAAAAATATTTACAAAGTATATCTTAAACAATTTTTTCATACTCTTCAAAAAAGTTCATCTCAAAATAAAATTGTTAATAAATTGTAAACTCAAAAAAAAAGTTTACGCTCAAAACAGATAAAATGCAGTACGTTACCAAAAGATTAATTTTTTTTTTTTTTTTATAATTATGCGCAAAAACGATGAATCCTCAATTTGATCTCTTGTTCCTCAGATCAAATGTATCGTAAAATCCAGGAAATTTTTGACGGGAAAATTTCAGAAGTAAAAGAAGAAATGAAGAAACTTAACGCCGAAAGCAATAAAATTCTTAGTAAGATCATTGACTTTTAATGTACTTTGTACATTTTAGAAAATTATATAATTTTTGTTCATATTATTTCATTAACTTCATAATTTCTTTTATTTATTCAACGGTGTCCAATTTTTATATGTATTTGATACGTTAGAAAAGAAATAATCGGCAAAACCTTTTTCATCATTTTAAAATAATTGAAATCGTTTACAAAAAGTATCTTAAATAATTGTTGTATACTATTCAAATAAGTTCATCTCAAAATAAAATGGTAATAAATTGTAAACTCAAAATAAAACGTTTATGTTCAAAACATATAAAATGCAGTACGTTCTACAAAAGATAAATATTTTGTGTTAATTTTGCACATATAGAAGCAATCCTCAATTATTATTTTTTTGCCCATAGTTGAAAGTTATGAGAAAAGCCAGGAATATTATAACAGGAAAATTTTAGAAGTTAAAGGGGACATAAAACTTATCACCGAAAGCAATACAATTCTTGGTGAGTTCACTATCTTTCAATGTGCTACGTACAGCTAATAAAAATACGTGTTAGTTTAATCTTTTTTAAATTAATATTTTATTTTTATTCATTCATTGTTTTCCAATTATTATATTTATTGAATAATCTAAACAATAAATAATCTCCAACCATTTTCATACCTTTAAATCATTAAAAAATATTACAAAAATTATCTTAATATATTTTGTATCCTTTTCATATAAAAATATCTTAAAACAAACTTAGAAATAAATTGTAAACTAAATATAAAAAGTTTATGCCTAAAACAGACTAGGTGCAATGTAATAAGAAAAGATAAATATTTGTTGACAGTTTTCACATTAACAATAATCGTCAATTTATTCATGTTCCTTTCTCCGCAGTTAAAATGTATAAAAATAGCCAGTACAATTTTGACAGGAAAATTTCAGAAATTCAAGAGGAAATGAAGAAACTTAACACCGAACACAATACATTTCTTGGTAAGATCATTATCTTTTACTTTTCTCCGTACACTTTAGAAGAATATATGTTTTTTTCATATTTTTGTATTCATTCAATAATTTATTTTTTATTCATTCATTGTTAATTAATTATTATATTAATTTGATAATTTAGACTACAAATAATATCCAACCATTTTCATTTTTAAAGAATTAAAAAAAAATTACAAACAATTATCTAACATTATTTTGTATACTTTTATATAAATGCAACTTAAAATAAAATAGTTCATAAATTGTAAACTCAATTTAAAAATGTATGGCTCAAACAGACAAGGTATATAACGATATTAAAGAATACACAATTTTGACAATTTTTCACATAAACAAATAATCCATAATTTGTTCTTGTTCCACGGTTGAATTTATAATAATAACCAGAGATATTTTAAACTTTGAAATTTTCAGAAATTCAAGACAAAATAAAGGAACTTGTCACCGAAAGCAAAAGGTTTCTTGGTGAGATCATTATCTTTTAATGTATTTCGTACAATTTAGAAAAGTTAATGTTTCGTCATATATTACATTGATTCAATAATTTATTTTGGATATGTGTTACATTATCTTTAAAAGTACTTTTTACAGTTTAGAAAAGTATACGTTCTTTTCATATGTTTCAATCATTCAATAATTTATTTCTTAGACATTCATTATTATCCAATTAGTATATTTATGTGATAATTTAGACACTAAATAATCTCCAAACAATTTTCATTTTTTAAATCATTAAATAGTTTACAAAAATGATCTTAAATGCTTTTGTACCCGTTTTTATATAAAACCATCTTAAAATAAATTTGGTAATCAATTGTAAACCCAAAATAAAAAGTGTATGCCCAAAATAGATAATTCACATAAACAAATAATCATCAATTTGTTCTTGTTCCACGGTTAAATTGTAAAATAATAGCCAGGGTTATTTTGACTGGAAATTTTCAGATATTCAAGGAGAAATAAAAGAACTCATCACCGAAAGCAAAGAATTTTTAGGTGAGATCATTATCTTTCAATATATTTCATACAGTTAAGACAAGTATATTTTTCGTCATATATTATATTGATTAAATAATCTATTTTTTAGACATTCACTAGTATCCAATTATTATATTTAATTGAAAATTTTGAGACCTTTTAATTATCTCAAAATAATTTTAATTTTTTTAAATTATTAAAAAAGATTACAAAATATTTTCTAATGTTATTGTAATTCCTTTTGATATAAATTCACCTTGAAATGAATCGGTAACAAATTGTAAACCCAAAATAAAACGTGTTTGCCTAAACATGTTAAGAATATATTATCCCAATACATCAACTCTATGTGGACTATAAAATGATCTATGACAACATAAAAATTTAATATCTGAATTCTATTTGAGACTCTGCAGGAGTTTGGAATACCAAATAAACTGAGAACATTGATACATGTAGCATTAAGCAACTCAAAAAGAAAAATCAAGGTTCAGGTAGAATATTCAAGGGAATTTCAGATTAAACGAGGCCTAGGACAAGGAGACTCACTGTCATGTGAGCTATTATCCTAAAGTTAGAGAAAGTTATACGAAACATACATATTGACAAACGAGGAATAATAGCAAGATACTTTCTGTGGGAGACCCATGACCAACAATCGGTAGGCACTCTCTACAGCCAAAGTCTTCAGTATTTTGCATATGCCGATTACATTACACTGTTTGGTGAAAAGTAGTAAAAACATAGAAATTTTTTTTATTGAATTAGTGGACGCTTCGCCACATGCAGAGCTGGAAGTTAACAATCAAAAAACAAAACAGATGGCTATGATATGAGAACAGCAGACAGATGACCCCATTAAAATTAGAAACAACACATTTGAAAAAGTAAATCAATTCAAATATCTAGGATCTTTATTAATCGAAAGAAATGAATTACTAAGAGTAATAAAAGAAAGATTATCGGCTGGAAACAACCGACCGGTTGTAACATATGCAAGTGAAAAGGAGTACCCTAACAAAACCGACCGAAAATCTATTAAACACGCATGGGAAGGGAAAAGCTCTACGGACAATATATCGACCAGCAAAGAATAAATATGCATGAAGAATACGAACCAACCAGGAATTGTATAGTCTATATCAGGATCCCACGCTGGTAGCATCAATAACAAAAGGTTAGCAACGCCGGGCAAGATTTAGCTTATAACAAAGGAGATTAATGGGTGCACCACCAAAAACTGCTGAGGAAAACGGCTTAAAGGCAGACCAGTCTTATATTATAAGGAGGAATGATGTGGGAAATAGATCTACAGCAGCTAGATATCCAAGCATGGAAAAAAAAACAATCAGTTAGGTCTGCGTGGAAGGAAGAAATGAGGGAGGCCAAAGCCTCACAAGGGCTGTAAACACTTCAGGGGTGGAGTATGGGTGTGTCCATTTATTGTGTCAACAAAATAGGGGAAATGCAAGGAGGAAGTGTTTTTAGTTTAATTGACGTCAACAATCAGATTTAGCTATTAAAACTTTCATTTAAAAATTATCTGGTCATTATATTATTTTTTAAAAATCTAATGAGTATGAATAGTCATATAATTTTTAGGCTTTTAAAAATGTAAGATTTATTTATGTGTGTCTGTCTGTACACTGCCTCTACTCACCTGTAGATTCTGTTTGTCGCAAATGACTTATATATTTATTTATATTATAATTCAGTTTTTCGGAGGGGCTATAAAATGTTAGTGGGGGGTTGGGGGGAGGGGGCATCATTGAACATTTGATAATTGTTGACAAGTGGGGAATGAGGTCAAAAAGTTAATTAAAATTTTTGACGTAATTAAAACAGACACGGTGCAATACGAGAAGAAAAAAATAAATACTTTTGACAATTATTAACATAAACAAATAATGCTCAGTTTGTTCTTGTTCCACAGATAAAGTGCATAATTATAGGTTGGACTATTATGACGATAAAATTTCAAAAGTTGAAAAGAACGTGAGGATTCTTAAACCTCAAATCAAAAGAAATATTTGTGAGATCATTATCTTTTAATGTATTTAGTACAGTTTAGAAGATTATATGTTTTTTTTTTCCTATTCATTCAATAATTTTGTTTTATGTAGTGTTTACAAATAATTATAATTATTTAATAATTTAGCATATAAATATTCTCCAAAGCATTTCCATTTTTACTTTAATCACTAAAAACTATTACAAAATATATCAAAAGTCATTTTGTATCCTTTTCATATAAATTCATCTTAAAATAAAATTTGTAATAAATTGTTAACTCAAAATAAAAATGTTATGCTCAAAACAGATAAAATGCACTACGGTACCAAAAGATAAATGGTTTTTGTCACTTTTTCTCATAAACAAATATTCCTCAATTAGTTATTTTTCCTTGTTCCATAGATGATACTTATATTGATATCAAGAGATGTTTTAACGAGAAAGTTTTAGAAATTCAAAAGGAAATGAAGAGTCTGAACCAAGAAAGCAAAAAAAATATTGGTGAGATCATTATCTTTTAATTTACTACATATTTGGTTCAGAAAAAATATGTTTGTTCATATTCTATGAGTCATTCAATAATATAATTCCATTGCAAGATTAACTGAATCATTAGTAAAACATAACACACTAGAAAGTATGAAATAGCTCTTAAAATTATTTTTCTTAAAAAATAGTACGTTTAAAATAAGAAAAAAACAGTATGATTTCTTTAGCTCTTATGATTTAATTATCTGTATTGTCTGTGATTATGTTCCCAGTTGATAAAGTCACCAAATTGGAAGAGACAGTGCAACAACAAACTTTAAGATTAAAAAGATACATCAGTAAACTGGGTGAGAAATTAACTCGGGTCATTAACTGAAGGATTAATTGATCAAAATCAGTTGATTAAACCAAAGATAATTAAATTATTTTCTTTTTCTATGTTAGATTGACTATATAGTAATAATTAATTTCGTGTAGAAACGTACACTACAAAGAAAAACATAAAAAGTACATAGCTATGCTACCAGTGGTGTAGCTGGGGTGGGCAAGGGGGGCCACGTTAGGGGGTGCAAAATGAGTATTAAAACTAATTATCTAATTTTATTTTGATGTAAACTAATGTATCCCAAATACGTTTGCAAGATTGAATTTTGGAGCTCCACAAATATCTTCATTACAAATCATTTGGCAAGCATGATTTTTGCACCCCCCCCCCCATTGAGTATTACGGGTCGCCAATCTACTCATAAACAAATGACAAATCCAAAATGTAGGATTGCTGATGGCGTTTTTTTTAAAACAAAGATCTGTTCGGGTTCAAATAGTATTCTTCATATACTGAAAGTGGCATCTGGTTTTAACAATTATACAGGCTGGAAAATTTCGAAAAATGTTAGAAACTTTCTCTCTGTGATCAAAATCATTGCTCAGTATGATCCACTGTTAGAGAAACACATACAAACACGCCCGAGAAAATCCAGGTTCAGTATCTTATTTATCACCGGAATTCCAAAATGAATTGATCCACCTACTTGCATCAGTTGTAAGGAATCAGCTGTTGAGTGAAATCAGCAAAAAAACAAGTACTACGGTATCTTACTTGACTCAACACCCGATCTAGGACACTGGGAACTGCAGGAGTACACTCAGCTAAACAGGATTAAGGTGTTATCACATTTTTTGCGGGGGGGGGGGTGACAGTTGAAAGTATATATTTGTTGTTTTTTCTCGTTCATCAACTCGTTGGGAAGAATTTAAAAGAGTTGTGCCAAAAAACAGTGAAGAGGGAGTCTGAAACATGCTGGAGTGCATGATCAGAAGCTGTTAAAGCTATTTATGAAGGACTAGATGAACTAGTAGGGCTGTTGGAAAAATTCTCAGAAGATGCAGCTATGACGCCTGAAACCAGAAGTGATACAGAAACTTTGCTGGCATGTATTTTAAACGTTAGCTTCCTAGTTTTGTTACATTTCTAGAACATTATACTTGGGAAAATTGATCGTGTCCAGAAACGGTTGCAGGATCCTACTGTGAATTTCAAGGAAGCAGCATCTGATCTTGAATCGCTGGAGCAAGAACTTGAGTTTATTCGTGATAATTTGAGCCAGGTTGCGGTAGATAATGGAAAAACAAGATGCACAACTTGGGGAATCGAGGTTGACAGAAGGATTAGACGATAGCGGAGGATGCCTTGAGAATTAGCAAGAGATGCAGGACTTTCTGCAGAAGAATAAATTGCACTTTTTATGAACAGCGTAATTGATAGACTCCAACCGTAGATATCAATACGGTTTTTACGTCTAAAAAACTAAACACCAAATTTGAATTTTTACTAGACGTCAAAACTCTTCTCGCTGAGACAAATGTCGATACACTTCATCAAAATTGCTTAGATTTTGGAAATAAATTTCTATGACACTGACGTCAATTGTCACGAATTGTGCAGAGAAATCGGAGACTGCAAAATGCTGCTCAGTACCCGGACTGAAGTTCTACCGGAAACTCCTTTGGATCTTCTTGGAATTATTGTTTCATGTGGAGTTGACGTTTTTCCTGAATCTGCGCATTTCACTGCAAATACTTCTAAGAACTGCTGTTTCAATTGCAAGCTTCAGTTTGCTGAAGGACCGCTCATAGCTTGCAATTGAATTTTGTCTTATTTACGTGCTTCAATGGGACAAGATCGTCTGAGTGATCTTGCACTTCTTAGGATCGAAAGAGAAACACTTGAGAATATTAATTTTGACAACGTGATTGACGAGTTTGCGACAGTCAAATCAAGGAGGATCAATTTTTTGTAGACTATGTCTATTCCAAACATGTATAATTGGTAGTGTATATATTTTTTTCAAATAAATTGTTTAAAATCGTATAATAATAATAATAATAAAGTTTATTTGAAAACCACCCTTCATCCCCAAAAGCTCGAAGCGCGATACAATTTCAACCATATTAAAAAGAGAAATAAAAACAATCTAAAATTTACCACACTTAAAATCAGACGCAACAGTAAAAAAAAAACAACTACATACGAGCATACCAAGTCAAAGTCTTTCATCCCATTTTAACCATAAGCAAGTTGCAATTTTGTACTGTATGCGAGCGTGGACCTGCAGCCTGTGCAGCTCTCTCAGAAGTGTTTTAGCATGATCGAATTTGCTTTTGCTAAGAACAATGCGACTCGCATTATTCTGTGCATTTTGAATTTTATCCAGGAGCGTAGCTGGAAGACCCACCAATGAGAGCATTGCAGTAGTCCATGCGTGATAATACGAATGCAGAAATCAGTATAGAGAATTATGAGTCTGTATTCTATTTCATTAAAATACCAGATGCTTCAAAAATAAACCATATAAACCGCACAATTTCAAAATTTTCTTGGGGGCTCAGGCTGAGCCCCTAGAGTCTGTCGGTCTGTCATGTCCACGGGCGCTAATAACCCTAGCTACACCACTGTATTCGACCACAAATATGCTGTTTGGATGCTCCTCATTCCACACAAATACAACATATACTAACATCCGGGGATGCTGAGAAGTTCAAGCTGATTTGGAAACATAACTCCGATTGCATTAAAATGCCACCTGAGATAATTTAGTATCTCCAAATAATTTAGAACATACACATATTTTTTTTTTCCTTTCGTTCCTTTAAATACAATGCTATTCCTTAGTTAATTTAGTCCATTAAATTCATATGACAATTGTATTTGCTACCCATATTTCAGGTAAATAATTGGCTACAGAATTAAAATCAATTAAAGAAGGAATTCAGAAACCTGAACTGAATATAATGAAAATTGAAGGAACAACTTCACGATTCCTGGAACCCAAAAGCCAATTATTTTGAAATCGAGGTGACTACTGCCCGAAAAAATTGATGCACATAATTTAAAAAATATGTTGTTGTTTTTTTTTATTTCAAACAAAATCAAGGAAACATCCAGCAAAAACATGATGAAGCTAACTTCACTAACTTTAATATCATAATTATTTTTAAAACTGATACTAACTTAAAAAGGTAACTTTAATTTATTCTGTTGAAGTGCTATATACTTATCTATTTATTCAGTTATTGTTTGTTTTGTTTTTTGCTCGGAATACATGTGTTCATTTTCATTCAACAACTTTAAATTTGAGTTAGAATTTTTAATTATAGAAATGAAAAGACATTCTTAATGCAAAATTGGATATACAGTGATACACACTATAAAAATATCCATCACATTAAATGGGGTATTTAAACAAATACTGGTACCTTAATTTGTTTTGACCTTCATAACATTTTTTTTTTAAAATCAGTCCTCCATGTTAAAAAGCTGGGGTTTTTAGGCTATATATAAATTTCACTAAGTTTCGTAAGCGCCAACATATTCACTACTAAGTTAAAAAGATGAACAGCGTTGCCATGTTTTAGTTTATGTATCGTGGAAAAAAAATAACATTTACACTATAATCCTATTGATTCAATAGGTACGCAAATTCATTATTCTCCTCTACCTCAGGCACATATCACATAAACTGGGGTCGCGGTTTGGATATGAAGATTTCCATATTTTTTAAAATAAAAAATGGAAGAAAATGAGGAGGGTGGCGTTGGTTGTATTTTAACAAAATATTTTTAAACACTGAAAGCTCATTTGAAATCAAAGCTTTGACAACATGACAGAGACATATTTATAGCTCTTTCAATAATGACTTGAGCCATTAAACTGTATTAGGTTGTATTTTTTAAATAATTAAAAAACAAAACAATGACGTAATATTAGTTTTGATGACGTAAACCGCCCTTCTGTGGAGGCTTCTCAAGTGTTGCTACTGACAAGAATTATGCTAAAGAGGGGGTGAATGGGCAACAATTCGACAATTTATTGTCGAGAAGGTAGCACGAAACAAGTCCGTTAGCCATGTAATATGTATTGAGAATAAAGGGTGGATTTTTTTCTTTATTCCTTAAGGGCGGTGAACACTCACTAAAAACTTCCAAACACATACTAAACTACGACTTAGATGGAAGAATTTTTTTACACCGGTCAGGGTATTTTGAAAAAATACCCGTTGGGTCCGACGAGTGTTACATAATAAAAAAAATGTTTCTGTATACCTTAAGGGCGTCGCATTCGGTATACAGCAATTAAAATAGAGTTCATTAATGTGTTACAATTTCACAACCCCTCCTCTTCATAACTGCATTTTAAAATTAAAAGGAAACAAAATCTGGTGATGTGCTCTTGAAAACCCTTTCATTGAAATTTCACACACATTAACTTTGAAAAATTTGAGGCGGTCCAAGGACGGGCAGCATGCTTTGTCCTGAGCCGTTACAGGAACACATCTGGTGTTGGCAGAATGCTGGACAATCGGGGCTGGTCACTAATGGAGGAACGGTGACGAGTATCCATGATGTACAATATAAAAATTGGCTTGTCCACGGCTCATGCATTAAAGAGAAACGCCCCCCCTCCCCCAAGGCAGTGACGATGCAATGACAAACAGTTCAGGCTCATAACACCAAGAACACGGTACAGGAGCTCCTCAGTCCTGCCAAATACAATCAGGGACTATAACACGCACCCTCCTTGCCCTACCTAATTTTCTGTTTCGGTTTAATCCTGAAGTGTCAAAGTGTCCTCTTTGTATAGCCATTTTCATTGTTTCTATAGAATAGTAGTTACTATCCTAGTGTCTCATTTGTATTTACTTAGTTTACATGTTTTAATAATTGTAAAGCGCTTAGAGCTTTATGATAAGCGCTATATAAAAA